TTTGTTAACCTAGTTTGAACAAAACTCTTCAGAGGTCAGTCCTCTGGTAGCCCTGTCCGCTATAAAAGAGTATACCCAGTCATGAGGAGCACCTGCACTTCACAACTGACTACTCACCACTCCCAGCATCTAACTGGTAGCAACGAACTTTACATGAAAGTGCTCTACTGACACCATGGTGACTGAGGATCTATAAATCCCTGGCCCTGCATATTGCAAAGGGAAAATAATCATCCTCTGCCCAAGGTCGACAATTTGCTGAAAGGGTACAGCTTCTTTTCTTTTGGTTGCAGAAGTTCTGCCATGGGACAAAATGTTACCTGTTTCTATTTCTGTCTTGCCTGTATCATGTTAAAGATATGCATGCAAAATGCAAATGAGCCCCTGATGATGCTCTGTCCTACCTTTTGCTGGTTTTCAAAGCTTTGGTTCACCAAAGCCCCAATAAAGACACCAGTCTTTAATCTGGCACAACCAAACTGCAGCTAGATTTACTCCATTGCCTCAGGGTGTATAATAGTTGCTGCAGACATGGGCAATTTGTGACCTTTATGATTTTTGGTCTATCATTTCCATCAGCTCAACATAGCAGAGTCAATGGTGAGGGATCATGGGTGCTGTAAGCCAGGGGCTGCCCATCCCTGAGCTACTAGAACCAAATTAACAGCTATTGCTCTTTGAAAATACAGAAGTGAAGACTGTTTTTGTCACTCTTTTTACTGTTACGTACATTGCAACCATACTGTAGTTTATTGCATTTGATGGTTGTGTGAATGTATTGATATGTTTTTAAATTTATATTTTGTGTGTTCCTTTGAGAGTCCTGGGGCTGAAGAGTTGCATGCTGGATTGATCATATGGACAAAGCATTCCAAATGATAGGTGGTGCTGTTCTAGGTCCTTAGTGCTTGGCTAAGGTTTCATATATCTTGCCTTCTTGCTGTTTTGTCTCGGGGAAGCTCCTCAAGGATCAGTTCTGTGCTGGAGGCCAGTGCTGTTGGTTCAACTTGCAGATTCTTAATAAAATTAAGTCTGTGCTGTGAAACTGAAATTGGAAATAAACTAAAACCATCTGTTGCTCTGTTCTGTCTGTAACACTGATTGGAAAACACAAGACTGCTTGTGAAATGCTGGGTTATAGCCAATGTTAATTGTTCTCAGAGAAGCCTTGTTCATTGCAGTGGGTCTGAGTAAAAGAAATATATGGTGGCCCTCTTAATAAAGCTTGCTCTTCAGTCAAAAGTTTTATTAGAAATGCACTCTGCATATGTTTAATGCACCCTTCTATTTTAGTTCACTTATTTCAAAGTTTAATCATGGGAATGAAAACAAGCTCTATGGTAGAGCACTGGCAACCTATGTTTGAAATTAAGTCCTGCTGGTGAGGTTTTATGAAATCTACAGGAATGACAGGGCAAACCTAGCTGGTTGCTGTGGGTCTACTGAACATCATATTAATTCAGAATGATCTGAAATGACCTCAGCCACCTGCTTCCAACTGCTAGTTTAGCTTAGACCAAATTATACTCTACCTAAAGGCATGCATTGAAAGAAGGAAAAAAATGCAAGTATCTTTTTACAGGGAATCTTTAACCTCCCTGACTTTCTAATAGCTATTTATATAAAGCATGACACCAAGGGGATGCAAAAAAAAAACCTTTTAGCCTTTCAACTCTGCTTTAATTTAGTCAGTCTCTTTGTTACATGTGCATAATACCACATAAATCTTCAGTAGGAACTTGCAGGCTAATCCTATGCATGTTTACCAAAAAGCCAGTGGGGCTTACTCCCAGATAATCATGCAAAGATAGCTTGAATGGTGAGGAACCTGTTACAGCAAATACACACTGAGGCTGCAATTTTATACCCAATTATCTAGAACCAAAATCCATTGAACTCAATGGTACATGCTTCTGATAGCCATATACAGGATTGCAGAGTAATTGCTTGTTATATCATACAAACAGCTGAATAAACATGAATAGGATCTGGCTATACTCAGATTGACTTGAAGTTTTGGAGTGCTCTTTGTAAGTTGCCTTCAGTACTCCTCACACTCAGGGAAGTGTTCTGGGCATGAAGAGCTGCCATGCTGCCCTACCCAACACATCTAAGGCAGTGTCTGTCCCTGTGTAGGTTTGATAGATGTGAAAGGATGATTTGAAACGAGTAGCAAGATTTAAAAGGAAACAAGATTACTTGGCCTTAAGGAGGGGAGGGGCTAAAATCAGGTAGCACAAAGTGTGGGAAAACAGGCACGTAGGCAGGAGGGCCAAATACTTCCTGATGGTTTATTGACAAACTTGGCAGAACAAAATGAGCTTACTGTAGCAGGTCTGAATTGGGAAGGGCTGGTATTGGAGCAGTGCGGAGTAGGCGGGCAGAAAGATTGTAAACTCCCGGTACCCCAGCCAATGAGGGGAAAGGAGGAGGGAGAAGCGGCCAGGGCATAAAAAGGGGATGTGAACAGGAAAATGGGAAGGAAACCACTTTTTTTGTTCCCTTCATTGCAATAGTTTTAAAAAGAACTCTCTGCATGCTTTGGAAATTTTTCTCTTCCAACAGAAAGAAAAGAGTGATCTTAACAGGTTGAATTGACTATATGGACCCAGATCATGCAGTGCAAGCTGCTGGGCTGCTACCAAGTCCCTGCTAACTGCCATCACCCAGCAACAGCTGCTACCAGCCAGTAAAACCAATGCTGATAGCAGTTACTGGCTTCCTGCAAGTATATTGTGGATGGAACTAGTCCTAATTAAAAGTCTTTAAGGGAGCATTCTTATGCATGCATAGTCACAAATAAGCTCCATTACACCAAGTTAGTTTGCAATTAAACCATTGAATATGCTTTACTTTGCAGTAAATAAGCACAGGATCAAGCCATAAGTTCATTCAAGTTATTATTTCTGATAGTTCACTAGTATACTTCCAGATGAATTTGACAGAGATTTGTTACAAGAATGCTTTTATGCATGTGTATTGGAAACCTTTATAGACAAAACAAAAAACTGCTGAGTTAGAGTCAAAAGTGGGTTTAATTCTCTGACCACAGGCTTGAATAAAGATAATGGATTTTTATCACACTACATGTGTTAAGTGGCTTACCTAGTACCAGTCTGTTATCAGCAATAGCTGCAGTTTAAGTGCCCACTGGTGTTATTGTAAATGCCACCTGTTGTTAATATTTTCTACCTTTGATTTCCTTCTGACTTGCCTTAACACCCACCCCACTCACACTGTCCATCCCCTATACAGGCATACCTCTGATATATCACGGGTTCAGTTCCAGACCACTGCAATAAAGTGAATATCGCAATAAAGTGAAACACATTTTTTGGTTTCCCAGTGCATATAAAAGTTACATTTTCACTATACTGTAGCCTATTAAGTGTGTACTAGCATTATCTCTAAAAAAAGTACATACCTTATTTAAAAATACTTTATTGCTAAAAAATGCTAACCATCATCTGAGCCTTCAAGTGAGTTGAAATCTTTTTGCTGGTGGAGGGATTTGCCTGGATGGTGATTGCTGCTGACTGATTCAGGGTGGTGGTTGAAGGTTTCTCTCTCAAAATTTCTTAAAATAAGACAATGGTGCAGTTTGCCACATTGACTGATTCCTTTCATCAAAGATTTTTCTGAAGCATGCAATGCTGTTTGATAGCATTTTACCCACTGTAGAACATCTTTATAAACTAGAGTCAATCCTCTCAAACCCTGCTGTAACTTTATCAATTAAGTTTATGTAATATTCTAAATCCTTTGTTTCATTTCAACAATCTTCACAGCATCTTCACCAGGAGCAGATTCCATCTCAAGAAGCCAATTTCTTTGCTCATCCATAAGAAGCAACTTCTCATCTGTTAAACTTTTATCATGAGATTGCAGCCCCATTTCTAATTCTAGTTCTCTTGCTATTTTCACCACATTTGCAGTTACTTCCTCCACTGAACTCTTGAACCCCTTAAAGTCATCCATAAGGGTTGGCATCAACTTTTTCCAAATTCCTGTTGTGATATTTTGACCTCTCCCCACCAATCACCTATATTCTTAATGGGTTCTATAAGGGTGACTTCTTTCCAGAAAGTTTTCAATTTACTTTGCTCAGATCCATCACAGAAATTACTATCTGTGGCAGCATTTCCTTTCACTTGAACACTTAGAGGCCATTACAGGGTTATCAATTGGTCTAATTTCAATATTGTTGTGTCTCAGGGAATAGGTAGGCCGGAGGGAATGGAAGGGCCAGTCAGTGGGACAGTCAGAACACACATTTATCTATTAAGTTGGGCGCAGTTCATGGCATTCCAAAACAATTACAATAGTAACATCAAAGATCACTTGTTATCACATAACAAATACAATGATGAAAAGTTTGAAATATTGTGAGAATTACCAAAATGTGACACTGAGGTATGAAGTGAGGAAATGCTGTTGGAAAAATGGCACCAATAGTCTTGCTCGAGGCAGGGTGGCCACAAACCTTAAATTTGTAAAAAATCGCAATATCTGTGAAGCGCAATAAAGCAAAGCTCAATAAAATGAGGTATGCCTCTACATATATTATTTAAAAAGTGCAGCTCCATAATACTCATCTGATGAAGTGGGCTGGCTGATAAGTTTATTCCAAATGTGTCTGCCTTTGAATTGCCACAAGACTTTGTCCAACACAACTACGTTCTAGAATTTTTAGGAACTGACTTCTGAGACGCCAGTCCAAAAAAGCTGAAACGTCACCACCCAAATCATGGCCACTGCTCATGGCTGACTACTGATTTCTATGGCGACGGCTCCACCAGAGGAAGGCGCACCACACTCCGACTCTGCCCCCCTCCTACCACAGGAATCTCGTTGCAAATTCCGCGGGTGGGTGGCGGGAACCTCCTTCTTCCAAGCCCTTTGTCTCCTCCCTTCCCGCCTCTACTACCGCTTCCTGCTCCGGCCGAACTACAACTCCCAGAAGCCCTTTTGAGAGTCTCTTTGGGTCTGAAAGTGAAAACAAACTTTCGGGCTGCCCGTTTCAGTGGAAACACCGCATGTTTCGTTTCTCTTTTGTTGCTGCTCTAGGAGCTCAGTGATGCGCGGAAGGAGCGACTGGAAGCCTTCGCGGGTCGGGAAAGCGCGCTGGAGCTCCGTGGCGCTGCGGCACGCTTGAAGCAAGCAGGAGACTCCGGCGGGGAAGGCCGAGAAGAGAAGCGCCCAGCGCCACCAGTTCATGCGGTGGAAGGGGCACCTCCTCCTCTTCCTCCTCGTCCCTCTCACACGAGCCCCACGTACGACCTGCGAATGTGAGGCTAGCTCCTCTCGCTTTGGCCGCCACCTCACGTCCCTGGGCAGCCCTCCCTAGTGGTTGGCTTTGGATGCATTTCCTTTTTCTTTTTCCCCATGTGGGGGTAGGTGGGAAGAGAAGCGGTTTCTCTGCAACCCCTTGAGCGATAAACATGGAGGCGGCGGCTGGTAAGCCAGGCGGAGAGGAGGACGACGAGGTGGCGGCGGCGGTGGAGCCGCAGCAGCCGCCGCCACAGCGGCAGAACCTCCCAAGCAACGGCGTGGAGCCTCCCGCGCACTCTGCAATGGACAGCTACTTGCGATCTCAGGGACTGTACCGCAAGCGGGTGGCGAAGGACGGGTCGTGCCTCTTCCGTGCTGTGGCAGAGCAGGTAACAGCGTGCAGGTTTGGTGGAGCGGCGATTGCTAACGGAGAGCAGCGGGGGCCGAGGGGGAGAGGAGGGGCGGGCTGGAGGAAACACGGACGCGCAGCTGTTGTAAAACGAAGCCTTGGGGGTTGCAGGGGACGGTGGTAAGGAGGATGACGAGGGGCTTGATTGCTACAGGCCCGACTCCCTTTCTTTCCAAGATCGCCGAAAAATCCCACTGGGGGAGTGGAAAAAGGACTTCGACCTGTTGGTGCATGTTGTTTGCCTGACTTTGGACGGGCAAGGAAACTGAGGAATTCTAGTTTAGAAGTTTTGTCTCCATATTCTCCAGGACAAAAGCAAGAGCGGTTAGGGTGTAGCCGCCGCATGAAAGGAACCGGTCTGGGGAAGACGATCGGGCTGGAAACGAATTCTCAAGTCTTTCCTCATCTGCGCGCGTGCAGTGAACTTGCATAGTTAAAGAGAGAGACGCCTTACCTTAGTTTCGAGGCGAACGGATCTTTTTTTCTCTCCCTTGCTTGGTCATCTTGCTCTTAAATTCAGTCGCTTATTTGCACATTCTCACCTTCATTTTCTTATATCCTGCTTGATATGCTGCTAGTTAATCTGTCTAACGAAAGGACAGCAGACTCTTTATCTGTTGAAATTATATAATTATTTCTCCTTCATGCTATATATAATGTATTAGCTATGGAATGGGGAGAGAACACAAGCTGTTGGTCTTTTTTGTATGTGTGATATTGGAATACAAAGTGCCTTGATGCAGATCTACCAGGTTATCTTCATTCTGTTTTGGCTCAGCAGACTTGTGGACCATTTGTGTTCAAGGTGGAATTTAAAATTCAGCCTGGAGGATGTGCAAAAAGCTGTCTGGCCTAAAGAGTAAATAAGTGCCCCAAGAGCGGCTTTAAATTAGGCTAGCTTCCTGTAGCTGTAATGACTCAGCATCTTTTGTAAAGCTCATTGAGAACTTTACTGCTCTTGGTATGCTTCTACTTTAGGGGCTATATGGTGAGGGGAGGCAGTAGTGGATTCTGTTGTCAGACGGGTTGCTGATACTCAAAGCTGAAGCATGGATTATGGGAACAGGCGTATCATGGTGGCTAAGACATTAAAGAACAGATGAGACAAGCCATATTCCCTCAGAGCCCAGTCCCCCCCACTCCATTAGCAATAGGAAGTTAATGATCCAATTTTCAGGGTTGCTATAGTTATGATAGGGTAATATATAAAGTGCTTTAGGCACTTTAGGATTCATGATGCACCATCTGTGAGCTTCTCCAAAGGCAACCATGGAGGGGTCTCTTATGGGTACCCTCATTTTTAAAATATACGTACATATGAATGGGATGCATACAGTTTTCTAGCCATTATACGTAAGTGTCAAGAAAAGTGAACCAAATGTACAAATCAGTATCCATTTGAAGGTGTGCTACCCATTTACATATTGAAAGCATTGCAAAGTCCTCAATCCATTAGATTATGGGAGGTGAGTGTTTCTCCTTTCAGTGTTGAAATAACAGTCTTCAGCTGTCAAAAGAGCACTGAGAAACCATTCATTTTATGTGTTCCTTTCCATGAAGTAAGTAAATACTTTAAAAGAGCATGTACTTCAGCACAACATTTATCATTAATAACCTTCTCCCCAAAAGAAGAAACTACAGGACATTGGCAAAACATATATTTAAAAGAAGTTAACTGTATTGCACAACCAGCAGCTGAATGAGACTGGTTGTAGGTAATGAGATACGAAAGAGAGATAGGACATTGGGGTTTAACATGCCCTTACAGAAGGAGGAGGAGGACAGATTTTATTTATTTATTTATTTATTAAAACATTTCTATGCCGTCCCATTCGCCGAAGCCTCGGGGCGGCTCACAACATAAAATTAAAATACAAGAAATAACAGTATAAAATAAGTTGCCCTAGCCAGATAAAATAAGCAAATAATATTAACAATTAAAATGACGCTTAAATAAAAAGGTCTTTGCCTGGCGCCGAAAAACAAATAACGACGGCGCCAGGCGGACCTCTCTGGGGAGCGCATTCCATAGATTGGGTGCCACCGCAGAGAAAGCCCTCCTCCGAGTACCTACCCTCCTAATTTCTTTCCCGGAGGGTTCCCGGAGAAGGGCCTCTCCCGCAGATCTCAAGGGGCGGGCGGGCGTATATGGATGTAAGTGCTCCAGGTACCAGGACCCAAGCCGTTTAGGGCTTTATAGGTCATCACCAACACCTTGAATTGGGCCTGGACTTCAGTGGGAAGCCAATGAAGCTGACGGAGGACTGGAGTCATGTGAACATAATGCCCAGTCCCCGTCAGGAGCCTGGCAGCTCTATTTTGAACCAATTGAAGTATCCGGACCGTCTTCAAGGGTAGCCCCACGTAGAGCGCGTTACAGAAGACAAGGCGGGAAGTCACCAGCGCGTGTGTCACTGTCGCCAGGCAGTCGTACTCCAGGTAGGGGCGCAGCTGATGAATCAGCCGAAGCTGAAGGAAAGCGCTCCTCGCCACTGCTGTCACCTGAGCTTCCAATGAAAGCTCCAGGTCGAGGAGCACTCCCAGGCTGCGGACCTTGTCCCTAAGAGGGAGTGCAACCCCATTCAGGACTAGGTTCAATTCACCCTCTCCGAAGCCCGATCCGCCAACCAACAGGACCTCCGTCTTGTCTGGATTGAGCTTCAGTTTATTGGCCCTCATCCAGCCCATTACCTCAGCCAGGCACCGGTTCAATACAGCCAGTGCCCTACCTGGATTGGTGGAAAACGAGAGGTAGAGCTGGGTATCATCAGCGTACTGATGGTTCCGCAGCCCACACCTCCTGATGACCTCTCCCAGCGGTTTCATGTAGATATTAAACAGCAAAGGGGACAAAATGGACCCCTGTGGTACTCCATGGCATAGCTGCCATGGTGCAGAGCCATAGTCCCCCAGCACCACCTTCTGGAACCAACCAGTGAGATAGGAGCGGAACCCCTGCAAAGCAGTGCCTCTGACCCCCAATCCCACTAGCCTATCCAGAAGGATACCATGGTTGATGGTATCGAAAGCCGCTGAAAGGTCCAGGAGAACCAACAGGGACGCACTCCCCCTGTCCTTCTCCCTGCACAGGTCATCGTACAGGGCGACCAAGGCAGATTCAGCACCGTACCCTGGTCTGAAGCCGGACTGAAATGGGTCCAGATAATCAGTTTCATCCAAGAGAGCTTGGAGTTGTCCCGCCACCACCCGCTCTAACACCTTGCCCAGAAACGGGATGTTGGCCACTGGTCTATAATTAGTCGCCATCTCTGGATCCAGTGACGCTTTCTTCAGGACCGGTCAGACTACCGCCTCCTTTAAAGGGGCAGGCACCCGATTCTCCCTCAGAGAAGCGTTAACCACTTCCAAGATCCAGGTTCCAATCCCGTGCTTGGAATTATTTATTAACCAAGACGGGCAAGGGTCCAATAGGCAAGTGGTGGGACGTACTCGTCCAAGCATCTTGTCCACATCATCGGGCTGCAATAACTGAAATTCATCCAATAATTCTGGACCAGACGGCAGCATTGGTGTCTCCCCAGAAACCTCTGATTCACTAGTGGTGTCTAGCTCTTGACGACTCTGAGTGATTTTCTCCCTGAAATGCATGGCAATGATTAGTATCTGTCCCCTCTTCTGGTTTCTCCTCCAACTGGAAGGTCCCAGACAGTAATATCAACTGGCCTTCAGGCTTGGTGGTGCTGCCGTTGAATGCCAGGTCGGTCCAAAACAAAACATCTTTCATGTTAATCATGGATGAGGGGGCTGACCTGGCATGTATTATGGAGACCTGGGCGGGAGAAGCAGGAGGGTTTCACTCATCCAGCTGTGCCCACCTGGGTATCTGGTGTGGCACCAACCTTGCCTTGGTAGGGAAGGCGTGGGGGTGTGGCACTAATATATTGAGATTCACTCTCCCTTGTGGGGCTTCTGGTCCCTTCGAGGCCGGGTCTAGAGTCTTTGTACCTTCCCTGGGTGATTAAGACAGATTAGGGATTCTGTTGTTGTACTGTGCTCCCTTCTGCCCAATAGACTCCCGGCTTGAGCTGACAGAGATCATCTCAGACCTGGTGTTGAGGACCCCCAGAATGTTGGTCCTGGGGGACTTCAGTTTCCATGCTGAGACTTCTCTGTCTGGGCGAGCTCAGGACTTCATGGCCACCATAGTAGCCATGGGGCTGTCTCAACACATCATTGGCCCAGTGCATGAAAGAGTCCATACTCTAGACCTAGTTTTCTCAACAAGGCAGGAAGATGGTGATCTGGAAGTGAGGGATTTGACTCTAACCCCTTTGTCATGGTCAGATCACTTCCTAGTGAGATTTGAACTCGGGGCCAGCTTCTCCCTCTGCAAGGGTGCAGACCCTATTAAAAAATTTCAACCTAAAAAAAAAAATTTCAACCTATTAAAATGGTCTGTCCCTGGAGTCTTATGGATTCATATGGATTCCTGAGGGCTCTGGGGGATTTCCTGGTTGATGAGGCTGGTGTTTCTGTTGATGCCATGGTTGATATGTGGAATGGGGAAATGACCAGGGCAATCAACATGATCATCCTTAAGCATCCTCTCTTGTCATGCAGAGTTTGCTTGGCATACATCTGAGTTCTGGGCAATGAAGTAGGCTGGGAGATGACTAGAGCATAGGTGGAGGAAATCCCATGCTGAATCTGACCCATTGCTACTGAGCTCATTATCAAGCCTATGCTGTGGCGGTAAGGACAGTGAAGAAGGAATGCTTCTCCGCTTCCATTTTATCCTCACAGCGCCGTCCAGCTGGGTGGTGCATGGCCTATTACACTCTTGCCCTCAAAAGTTCCTATTTCACCGTCCGTAGCTTGCTGTGATGACTTTGCCCAGCACTTTAGGGATGAAATCGCTCAGATTTGCCACCAGCTGGACTCCACAGTTGATATGGTTAGGGAGGAGGGAGTGTCCAGAGCACCGTCTGGACTGCAATGTGCTCTATGTAGGGTTGCCCTTAAATATGGTCCAGATACTTCAATTGGTTCAGAATAGAGCTGCCAGGATGTTAACAGGGACCAGCAGGTATTCACATATAATGCTGGTCCTGTATCGGTTACAGTGGCTGCCAGTTGAAGTCTGGGCCCAATTTAAGGTGCTGGTGATGTCCTAAAAAGCCCTGAATGGCTTGGGGTCCAGGAGACCTGAAGGAATGCCTTCTTCCCTATATGCCTTCCCGCCCCTTGAGATCTGAGGTGCAGGTCCTGCTCCAGGAACCCTCCTTGAAGGAGATTAGGAGGGTGGCTACCTGGAGGAGGGCCTTCTCTGCAGTGGCACCCCAACTATGGAATATGCTTCCCAGAGATGTTTGCCTAGCACCAACGCTATACTCTTTTTGGTGTCAGGAGAAAACTTTCTTCCCTCATCATTAGGGAAAGTTCTAATTAGTTAGATTAGTTAGATTATTTTAGATTAGTTAGATTATTTTAGATTAGTTAGATTATTTTAACTGGGGTTTTATTATCCTAAGTCAGTGGTGGCGAACCTATGGCAGGGTGGGCACACAGAGCCCTCTCTGTCAGCACGTGAACCAAGTCACCCCAGCAACCCCCCAGCAGCTGAGCATCGGATAACAGCATACATACAGGCCACGCGCATGCTCGGAAAGGAGTAGTGGTGCCAGGCAATGAAATTGCAAGCCGCGATTCATTAACTGCAACTCATCCGAGCTTTTGCGTGGCCTGTCAGTGAACTGCTAAGGATATATATATATTTGCTTGGACTGGCTGTGAATTGTTTTTTCTGAACTAAAACCTCAGTTTTCAGGTTTTATTGTAGTGTTGGCACATTGTGATAAATAAGTGGATTTTGGGTTGCAATTTGGGCACTCGGGACATCACTGTCCTAAGTCATTGGATGCTGTGTTGCTTTGTTTTATCTTAGTTGTTTTCATTGTAAGCTGTCCTGATACACTAGTGGTGGACAGGTTAGAAAGGCGCTAAAGGAAGGAAGGAAGGAAGGAAGGAAGGAAGGAAGGAAGGAAGGAAGGAAGGAAAGAAAGGTTTTGTTGAGTAAGATGCAGCCATAGACAAGACAGAGATGTCAAACTGTGATTCATTGATTAGTTCCTTTATGGTGGTGCCCACAGCAGAGTCAAAATTTCACAGATGTATCCAAGGACCCAAAAAAACCCTTGGACACTCCCAGTCTAACTGCTTGATCATTGATCATTTAAGAAACAATGCAGAGAAGAGTAATAAATGGTAAATTCCCCCAGTGGAGTGGATTCCTGCAGGAATCTGTATTGGGACTGCTGCTTTTCATTTATTCATAAATGATCTGGAATGAGGAGTGAACAGTGAAGTGGCCAGGTTTGTTGACAATACCAGATTATTTTGGGAAGTTAAAACAAAGCAATTGGGGGGAATTACAAAAAGATGTCTTCAGACTGGGAGACTGGACATCAAAATGACAAATGTAGTTCAGTGTAAGGAAAGTACTTTAGGGCAAGAAAATCCTGACTAGCTAGTGGTGGCTGACCAAGAAAATTACAGCATGATCAACATAGGAGGTCCTCTTAGAGAGAGTAGAAATAAGGGAGAAGACCCTTTTGGTGATCACACCTCACATGTGGAATAATTTCCCTACTAAGATTATTCTATGTGACAACAATATTTTCATCTTTTTGGCAGCAGGTTAATAGTATCTTCCCAGGCTTGTAACTGCATATGATGGGACTTTAATGTCAGATATTTTATCAGGTCTTGGGATCTCATTGCAATGGTTTTAGCAGCTTTAATTGGTGTTATGTTTTTCATTTTAACAATTTTTGCATTAGGTCTTGAGAGTTATGAGAACCTCCCAGAGAGCTTTGGCTGTTAGATGCTTATATTGCACTGTTGTAAACTGCCCGGAGAGCTTCAGTTGGGGGATGGTATAGAAATGAAATGAATGAAATGGTAATGGTAAAGTGCTACTGCACTCATGTTTTGTGTGTGGGTTCCCTATGGCCAGCTGCTTGGCCACTGTGTGATCAGAATGCTAGACTAGGGGGACCCTTAGTCTGAACCAGCCTTACTACAGTTTAAATGGGCAGGGTTTCTTTGCCCACCTCAATTGTCTGCATGTTTATACCAGGTCTCAATCGTTGGAGTATTATTGCCCAGATTAAATTTTACTTTCACCTCTAATGTGTCAGTTTTGACTCTTAGATTTTAAGTGTGTGTGTAAATGTTTGAATGTTCAGAACTCCTTAATATGTAGTTACTTTTTTGTAGCTTTTATAATTTTGCAGTCAGTTCATCAAACCTTTTTATATTTTTTTAATAATTCCCTCTCCAGGTTTTCCACTCTCAGTCTCAACATCTTGACATTAGAATGGCCTGTATAAACTACCTGCGGAAAAACAGAGAGCAGTTTGAAGCGGTAAATAAGCATTCTTTTCTTTTGGGGGGCCAGAGAAGGCCATGCTTTTTCATGCTTTTTCTTTACACCTGTCAATGGTTAGTTTTGGGGAGTGGGGGTGCATCCAATACTGTCTGGCTAAGAAGACCAATAAGCTTTGTTCAACTGGATTATGGATTATGGCCACAGGACATGGCCCAGCCACCTCACTCATGCTAAACAGGTCTAAGTTTGGTCAGTGCTTCAATGGTAGACCACCTGGGAACCCATATACTACTTAAGGAGGGCTTCTGTGATGGGAGGAAGGTGGGACACAATTGTTATATATAATTAAAACATACAGACTGTCATTCTGGATAGTCTTATTCCTCTAACATTTGGGAAAGATTCTGTTTCCTCATGGGGAGACAATGGTCCCTGACCCTGACCCTGAGTATGTATGAGGAAGGAAATAGCAGAAACTGCATAGTGGTTGCCTTGGCTATTCCTTAAGTCCCCCCTTCCCCATTATCTTGCCTCCTTTGGGGTTATCCGTTCTGAATGATTCCCACAGTCCTCCGCTGCTCTCTTCTTTCTTGGTCTAGGTATGGCTTTGGTAATGTTATAAATATAGATGTGACTTTCATACATAGTGCATCTGAGACAACTTTTGAAAATGAGCATAATCTTAAAAAGGGTGCATGGAGCCCATATGATCAGCACTTTTGAGTCTCAGGTTGCTCCTTGAATTAGATTGCCTTCATCAGCAAGATCACAACTCCCATCATTCCAAACCAGAGATGGTCCCAACTATGGGTGATGTGAGCTGAAGGCAAAAACATTTGGAAGGCATGAGGTTGGGGAAAGCTGGCCTGCATGCTTTTTGAAGCCTCTTTAACAGTGTCTCTCTAAGAAATATACTTGCAGGATGTGGCCATAGATTCATATTATGTGCCTGTTAATTTTGGCACAGCTGCCAGAAACCTATCTTCAAGGGTGCCCCTCTGAGATATGCCTCCCAAATTCAGATTGATTGATTGATTGATTGATTTGTAAAAACATTTCTATGCTGCCCCTTGCTGAAGCCTCGGGGCGGCTCACAACATCTAATAAAATACACAACAAGATTGTGGGGACTCAAACAGTCTCCTGTGGTTGTTCCACAGCCTGGGCCATCAACAGGTTGCATTTTTGTGAACATGCTGAGAAGTTAATGTGTGACCTGGAACATCCCCAGGTGCTACCAAGAACCTAGAGGTGACTTGTGCTGTCTTGGAAGTACATTTCAATTGGGGTGGGTTGTGCCTATTCTCACAGTACATCCTCCATGTGGTTGAGTGTCTGGAGAAGATTTGGCCAACTTAATAGCTCCTTGCATGTTTTCTAACAGGATCATTCATTCTCTATATTTTGGATATAATGCCTAGACCAGTGTTGCAGGAGGGCAGATCTGAATCTATTGGTTGGTCTTTTAGTGTTTGCAGTAGATTTTCAAAGATTTTTGATTCCTATTTGTTCAGCAAAAACAACTACAGAATGTCTCTTTCCTACCTTAAATTATCCTGCTGAAATGAAGAAAGATTGTATTAAGCAGAAGTGGATTTTATTTTAAGAACTGTGAGAGTGTGTGTTCCACTCAGTTCTGGTAGTAAGAACAAATTCCTGGGCTCAGAGTTCTTTGATTCTGAGTGTGTATGTCTTTCAGCTTAGGCTTGGGTTGGTAAATCTCAGGGTTCTTTAAGAAGCAAAGAAGGTGTGGCAAGTCTGTTACCTGCCTAGTTGTAAGCAAGATCACACAAGGGCAGCTACAGACTGCATGGGGCCCTTGAAGCCTTTTGTGCACCCTGCTGCAGTTGTCGCCTGCACCTTCAAACTTTGTGCCGCTGAAGCTGCCATGGTGATTTTCCTGGGGAAGAAAGTGTGGAAGGAGACTTGTTCTGACATGTTTTTCCCAGCATAACTTTACTTCTGCCCCAGAACAGTTATTTGGCAAGAAGAGCACTAGTTAAGCATGGAGGAAAGCAAATGGGGAGAGTCCTTCCCATGTACAGCGTTCTCTGTTACATTCAGGCAAAGCAGGGAGGAAGTTATTGAAGCAGATCTATGGATGGGGTTTAATTCGTGCCAAGGCTCAGCTATGGCATCCATCTCTAATGTCATCATATGAGTCATGACTAAAGTGCCTCCAAACAGGCTTAGAGAGCATTTCTTTCACCACTGAATAAATAAAGTTAAACAAAGCTGTTATATCTCAACACTGCTAAGTTTTCTTTCATTTTTTATTTTAAAGTTTATAGAAGGAGAGTTTGAAGAGTATTTGAAGAGTTTGGAAAATCCACAGGTATGTATTACTAGATTATGAGTATTTTTAAACTCTTTTTTTAGAGCATGTACATTAAACCAATCAAGCAGAATTTATCTAATTACCCTGAAAATTTAACTTGAAACTTGAATGAGCTTTCCTTATGTGTTCCTTCGTGTTACATATGAGCTGCTCTGAAAAGGAGATGACACATGAGTGTTTCAGAGGGGCCAAATCAATATTCACTACTTAAAGTCTTGGGGGAAAAACAGTTTTTTCAGTAGCAGAAGAGTCACAAGCAGAAGTTTTGGAACTCTTCTTCCTTTCTTCTCAGTTTGTTGTAGCAACTTGCAGAAAAACTAAAGGGAAGTTCAAGTTTCAAATGGTACTTTTTTTTTGAATAAGTTTTATTCTAAATAAACCTAATACAAAGAAAAACTAAAAACAACATCAATCATCAGAAACATCGGACCTACCTATGGTACTTGAAAACAATAATATATATGTTTCATCTGACATACAGATTGCAGTGAGGAAAGGGTCTTTGACTATATTTCTGTACTCTGCATTCTGAAATGGCTTATTTAGTTGCCTTAGCCAGTGAACTAGAGCAAGAAAGATGATTGTGCACTGGGTAATTTAAAAGTAGTAATTTATTGCTAGGAATCTGTGTTTTTTATTTCCTTTGCAAGCCAGGTCAAATGCTGTCTGCCTCTCTACCCTCTCTCCTCCTGACAGCACCTGCCTTCAAGGGAGCAGGCCAACTTGGACACTGCTGCTTTGAGTGCGCCTGATATGGCTTGACACAGCAGTATCTAAAACCTTTCACCTGTCCTTTTCCAAAGGGAGGGCTGACAGGAAGTGTGTTGTCTAGGACAACTCTTCCAGATGGCTCTCCCAATCACCTTCCAGTTGTGGTAGGGGCCAACTCTCTTTTCTGTTCACCTTTGGATATATTCTTTGAGTTCTCCCTAGCTTAGTCAGCTGGGTACATGATTTCACGTATTTTTCTCCTGGTAACAGGGCTGGATAGGGATGGAGGGGAGCAGATTCCCACATAACGCTTATGTCAACTTGTGCCTGCCTCTGCCACTTTAGATAGCTGGTAGGATGGTTGGCAACTTCTCATGCTCACCCACATTTGGCAAGCAGAATTCTTGAAGCCTAACCATGAACTTTTGAGCATAGATTTGAGGCTTTGCCTTTTCTTGCCCCAGTGGCTGCAGTTTCTGTTCTTCTGGATCTTCTGTGAAGATGGGAAGGCCAGGAAATCAAAATGCAACAAGCGCTGGAGTATTTTAACTTCCCTTGTTAAAATATTACGTTTTAATTTGCTGTTGATAGAAGATAGTGGCAAGGAGAGATGCTGTTCCTGCAATGAGTGCTCTCATCGGTTGGGGCAGTGCTGATGAGAGCACACTCATTGCCTCCTGCTGTGCTCTTCCACTGTTTATGAGTGGTTTCTGCTCCCTGGGGCTGAATAGGGAATGTGATCAAACTCCCCTCAATTTGGCCTATTGCCCTGTTGGGGCAGGGGCAGGTTCTCTGGCTTTCTGTACCTTCTGCTCCTTGGCAGCAAGACTCACTCTGGACTTCTCATCATGACTGCAAGTATTATTGGTTATTACAAACAAAGAGCCTTCTTTGAAAGTCCAGTTGCTTAAGGCACAATCCAGTTGGTGCCTGCTTGCACAGTTGGACTCATGCATGAGCTCTGTTATGAGCTCATGTAGTGCATGGTAGGGATGTCTGCATATGAGAGCAGAACATGCAGAAAGGGAAGGATGCAGTAGAGTGCTGGAGTGGGACCAGGGGAAGAGGAATGCTTCTTTTTATATACTTCCATACTTCAGGGAAAATGAGGTGTGTATGTGAAATGTAGGGAAAATGGATTTCAAATGGATTGAAATGAAATTACATTTTCTCATTGAATTACTGAAAGCAATTTTGGTGAGCAGCAGTGACTGCACATTAACTGAAATAGGATGAATCTAATTGCTTGTTTGTCCTTGGTGACTTCATGGGTGTCTGTGAGCAACATCCACACCTTCCAGTTGACTTCTAGAACAAATACTTAAGGTGGTTTGTGTTCTGACTTTACCTAGGTATGTTCTTAATGTTCAGTTTTTTGCTGCAATTAAGTTTTCCTCTCTTTGATGCAGGAATGGGTCGGACAAGTGGAAATAAGTGCCCTTTCTCTTATGTACAAGTAAGAAATATACATTTTCATTGATAAGCTTCAAAACAGTAACTTGTAGCCAGCATGATGCTTGAGCTTGAATTTGCCTGGAAAGTAACACACAAATAAATATCCTTTGCACTGGCTGGAGTAGAATTAGTTGCTATGAGGCATAATATTCAGTGTAAACTACATTTACTAGTTGTACATGGAAGTAATTTATTTCAACAGGCTTTCTTCCACTTATGGGATAGCTATACAGTGTTACTGAGCATCCAAGAAAACTGCCTGTTTTCATTGTTTTGTTGGCATTTCCTAGAATGTTTGGTTGATATGAGTGAGGTACAGTTTGTATATTGTTATAATTAAGCTAAATAGGCGTGATGGCATGATCCATACTGCAAGCCTTTATATTCCTACTTTGAAGTAAGTTCCATGAGCACAGTGGGACTAACTCCCCAAGATTGGGTATAGCATTGCAGCCTTACTGTTACCTGAACACTGCGACTGAGAGCTGGGACTTAAGAGTTAATGATAGAGGTTTTAAATATGTATTTTTTCCTGAATAAATAAAGGAGACCAGATTTCTTGGTTGATAAAACAGGATAAACATTAAAAGCACTCTAATACACATGTGTATTTATTGCTTGCATATTATTTTGGGGAGGGGCAAATATACAAAGGAAGGGAGAAGAAAGAATACATTATGTGGGAGAAGATAAATACATAGGAATTCCAATTCTGGGTCTGATGTTGTGGAAATACTGGCATGGAGAGGGAGGGAAAATAAGTGGACTTGAATCATGGGATGTTAGATATAATTTCAGGCCACAGTGGTTTCCAGTTTCTGCTGCTTGCATAACCCTCTGAGCAGGGATTTGTTGATTATTGTCATGTTGTCAATGTTAACATGTGCTTTGATTACAGAATCTACAGGCTGTTGTTGTCTAATGGCTTAGTTATGTCCCAGGAAATAAAGTGGCATCTTAATATAATGTTAAATATAATATATATAATAATAAGGCATATAATGTAATGTTAGTAAATAAGTAACAAATAAACCATATTTCATGTGCTGCTACATGCATCTGAACAGTTCAGATAGTTGTGGGTTTTTCTGTCAAGCTCTATTTATACTAAACCTATTAATTATTCATTCTGTATTGAAGCCTGTGTTTTTATTGTGTTTCTCACTCCCTTGACATACATTTCTTCTAGAAAAGATTTTATAATCTATCAGGAACCAAACTGTGCTCCTTCGCATGTCACCGAAAATGGCTTTCCTGATAAGGTAAGATGCTTGCGAATATACCTGAATGTATAACTGATATTAATATGTATACACCCAGTGTTTTATATGTTTTTAATATTCGTGATCTGACTTACATACAAATTCAACTTAAAGATGATCTCAGGAATATATTTGTTCTTAACTGGGGGACCTGGTATACTGATAAGGTTAAGGCATAGAAAACTGCCTTATATGGAGTCATGTCTCTGGTCACTCTAGGCTAGTGCTACCAGTGCTGCCTGACAGTGGCTCCCCAGGATTTCAGGAAAAGGTTTTACCTGCTCTACCTGGAGATCAAACTCAGAACATCCTGCCTGCCAAACATGTGCTGTGCCACTGAGCCACCACTATTCCACCAGTGCAGCTGGTGTTGGGTGTTTTGACACCCACTTGGAGTGTCCTTATGGTGTTATACTCAGGCTACATACTGAGATTTGTTGCAGTCTGTGACCAGCTTCCCAGGGTTGTAATTCTTAGCATATGTACATCTGCTTGCCATTCAAAAGAGGAGTCCCATCTAGCACCCTCTGGCACTTTGCAAAGAGTCTGAAATGTATGAATTGCACTGCTTTGGTGATGACTGTAACAAAAATTGGGGCTCCAAGTAACAGCTTCTGTATTTTATGCCAGTGTTAACTTGTGAATGCTTGTTTTTAAAATCATCCTACAGTGATATCTTGTGTATGTCTACATATGTCCCAGTTAATTGAGTGAAGGTTACTTCCCTGTCATGGTGCATAGGACTGCAGCCTTACCTTTTGAGAAGGATAAAAAAAGCCTGTTTCTGATCCTAAAGCAAGTTCATGGCACTATAATGCCCATACCTTTTGGGCTCAGTCTGTGTTGCCTGGAGGTTAAACCAGACAAATATGGGATATCTGTACTCTTTTTCTTCTGCCCTTAAAATTATTAACAGGACCTGTGTTTCCATTTTGGATTTGGTTTGGGTGTGATATCAGGCTGATTTCCCAGTCCAAATATTTCCGTACCCATTTCTGGGCTGGGGGTGGGGGACTTGTAGTATATCTGAAGTTGTTATAGTTTTAAAAAACCTTTCCCAATCCGGTGGCCTCCAAATGTGTTGTACTGCAACTCCAGCAATTTTAGAAGCCAGTAGTTCGGGGAAGGCTGTCCAATATCTAATCAGGCCTATATAAGAAGACATCTGAGTGGCCTCTTCTGTCTTCACTCTATCCAGTAAATGCAAACTGTACTGAATTTCTCATGTCTGGAGTCTTGAAATAATTGCACTTGTTCAAATGATTTATTGTTTTAGAAATACAATGAGTTGTATGCACTCATAATCCTGTTTAAACGAGACCAATTGAAATGAATGAAAATTTAGATATTTATTTATTATGCACCTCTCTTTAAACCAAGAAAAATAGCACTTTAGCTGGCTTATAAGCACATATAAAACTTGATTAAAACAATTATAAAATTTATCCTAGTTCAATAAACTACAGTAATAACATAATAAAAAAGGGTCCAGCTCAACGGACTGGATTACGCAGCAAATACTTGCCTGAATAAGGAGTTCTGTATGTGTTATTTCAGGTAGCCTAGTCTCTAGCCATTTAGGCCTTTACAGGTCATAACCACACTTTGGATTTGTCCCAAAACAGCCAGTGAAGCTGCTGCAATAAGAGTGTTGCCTGCTGCTTGTAACTAGCCCTGATCAACAGTATGTCTGGAGCACTTCGGGCAGGCTAAAGTTTCTGAGTAGTTTTCAAAGAGTGTTTGCTAGTATTCCAAGAGGAAAGTAACTAAGACACGTTTAGGAACAGTTGAAGATGGTGCACTAGCCTTCCTTGTGTGAATGCACTTCTGGGCATTGCCAAAATATTATTATTACTATTATTATTACTATTATTATTATTATTATTATTATTATTATTATTATTACTACTACATTTCTATGCCACCCCTTGCCGAAGCCTCGGAGCGGCTTACAACACAATACAATACAATACAAAATTAACAATATAAAATTAAAATTAATAATATAAAATAAATAAAAAATACAAACAATATAAAAGAAGTTATAAAAGAAAAGTTGTAAAAGAAAAGAAGTCACCCTGGCCAGATAAATAAGTAAATATGAGCATCCCAGTTCAAGATCAAGGTCAGAAATATATTCAAACTGTGAGCCTTATTCTTTATGGGATCTGTAAACTCATCCAACACAGGCTTTTTCCTTCAGCTGATCAGGAATGCCTTGCTCTTTTCTGGATTAAGCTTCAATTTCTTTGCTTTCATTCAACCCATGAGAGACATCAGGAACCAGTCTCCTGATTTAGAACAGCTTTCTTGGATTTAGTTGGAAAGAAAAGATAGAGTTAAGTTAGTCACACTTTAGTCTAACTATTGTTATTATTCATTACTTTTCTATACTGCCCATAGCTGAAGCTCTTTGGGCAGTTCACAACATTAAGTCACCCATTCAGATATCAACCAGGCCTGACCCTGCTTAGCTTCCAAGACTAGGCAGGATCAGGCACTTCAGAATTGTGTCTCATCAGTTTAGTGGTGGCACCAGATGAGATGGACCCCCAAGAAACACCTAAGGCCAGTAGCACCACCTTCTCCAATCACCCCTCCCAGAAGGACTGAAGCAGCTGTATAGTGGTGCCTGCCAGACCCACCTTAAACTGATGCCTCAGAAAGATACCATAGTCAGTACTACGGAAAGTCATCAGTGTGGGCACACTGGACCTGCCCAGTTATCATTGTAGATCACCAACCAAGGCAACCAGCCAAAGCTGTCTCTGTCACATAAGCAGGCCTGAAGCAGGATTGAAATCGCTCTGGATAATCCATATTATCCAGGAATCCCCGGATAATCACTGACAATTCACCACACACAGCCCAGCACCTTGCCCAAGTATGGAATATTGGAGAAATTATCCAATAAAGCAGAAATTATCCAATAAAGTGGGTTTCAGGGAGGTCTTACTACTTCTTTAGACTAACATGGGATACAATCCATTGGTGTTTTAGTTCTTTTTGGTCAATGTTTAGATTTGTAATGGTAATGTATAGTCTCAAGTTGTCATTAATTCTCTTCTAGGTATTACTGTGTTTTTCAAATGGCAGCCACTATGACATTGTCTATCCTATAGAGTATACACGCAGTGCTGCTCTTTGCCAGTGTAAGTACTAATGTGATACATCAGTATTGAAATGTAGTATTGGGAGTGTGTGTGTGTGTGTGTGGGGGGGTGTACCAGCTGACTACCTGGAGCTCCATTTTGTTCATTTTGTCCATTTTGTTCTAAGTGCTCCAGCTAATGGTGTTCAATCAGCCATGGCCTCTCTAGGCCATTCCTGCTTTGCTTACCTGCCTGCTAGTAGGAAGTAGAATGCCAGGTGTGCCATGCAGTATCTTGGGGAAGGGGGGCAGCCAAAGAACCTGGCAAGGAAAAAGGAAAAAGCCAAGGATCCCTCATTACTAACTTCATTAGGAATTTGGGAAATCCATAAAATGGAATGCTTTGCAGAGCTGCACTGGTACAGCAGATTCGATAAGCGAGATCAGAGCCATTATTTGAATATCTGGGTTGTGACTTGGTAACCCTTGTCTGCATCTTTTGCTGAATTACTTTTCCCTGCTTGGGAACTGAATATCCTGAAGATATGCTTTCCTGGGAACTTTTCTGGGATGGTGACATATTCACATGTCTACTGAAGTGTATAAAGTTCATTATTACCTGCTGGTGCCAGAAATTGTGCAATTTTGGTCCTGAGTTCTTTATTGGTATTGTTCAGGCATGCTAGAATTGTAGTGCAAAACTGGAAGGCAGTCATACCATTTAATGCACAGGCAAAAATCCACAGACAGCTGTGGTCCGCTAAGGCTGTTTGCAGAGCTCTCCTTGCATCTGAGCTGACTGTCTCTCTGGTGCAGTCATTGGGCTTGCACAGGATCATATCATTTATGGAACTTGATAAAATGACTGCTCCTTTTGTGATGAAGTGCTTTTTGTTTTGTGTTCTTGTCCTGAGTAGCTGTTCTTTATGAATTGCTGTATGAGAAAGTGTTTAATGTCAACGTGAATAAAATCATAGAAGAACTTAAGCCCCTGGATGTGACTAAGTGTGGCACTGGGGACAGTGAAGCTTCTGACTCAGAGGATGAAGATGCAGAGTAAGTCTATTAGTCTGAGGTGAAAAAGCAGAGAGGGCATCACAGTTATTAGCTATTAATGTTATTAAGGGAGTAATGTGCAAAGATGTGAAACTGTGAGGAAATTTTGTTTCCCTGAAGCTATATGTTGGGGTAGGCAAGTTTGTTTTTGGCAGATTTGGCAATCTGATGAACTGTCCTGAGCACTGGTACAAAATGGTTTCCCTGGAAGGGTGCCAAAGGACAAGCAAGCTGCCATGAAGACTGAGAAAAGGGCAAGGATCCTCAACACTCTGGATGACAACTTGAACCACAGTTGTCAGCAATAACAGAAGCCTAAATTTCACAGCATCCCCAGCTGCCACTAAGACTATAATTACAAGGTGGGAAGGGTAGGACACGTTGGGAGACACCAGGAAAGGTGTTCAAGGCCACATTAATGTTATATGGGCACCTTGTTGCCTAACCTGCTACAAGCATTTGTGTTCCATAACTTTTTAAAGATGGTTCTGCCTGCTTCAAAGGGCATGTGAAAACACCTGACTTGTTCTTTAGAAGCAGCAGGACTCTTTGAAATGTTGAAGATTGGATGAAGGAAAGGCAGAAAGTAGTCCGTCAGGCTATATAGTACTGATCCTTTGAGAAGAGAGTAGAGGGTTGCTGCTCCCTTCCCAAGCATAAGAGGTTCATTAAAGGGGATTCAGTAAATGACCTATGTTCCACTTCTTTGTTCAAAAGAGAAATGTATTGCTGGGCTTTAAAAAAAAAATTAGGAATTGAATTAGTAGCTCTTATTACTGGCTTTCATTGCCTGAAAAAATGAGTTGGGGTGTTTGGTGCTGAACATGGGAAATATGTTTAAATGTTTTGTTTTTTAAAAAGCACCATTGCCTTAGTATGAGCTAACAAGCTCCCTCTGGGTTCCTCCATTGGGCCTGCCCAAAGGGTTTGTATTCTTATTCCAGATTTTTACAACTTGGTTAATTAAACTTAATGTGTTTGTGTGTGTTTAATAGTGGGATGGTTATTGTGGATTGTAGTGGAGCCAGGGTTTTCAGGGGTGTAGCACTGGCAGTTCTTCATGAAAGATGTTGAAACAATCTGCCACCCTTCTCAGACTTCCCTGTTCCTTCTGAACTTACCTGCAATCCTAACATGAGAAAGCAGAGTGGATGTGGAAGTATTTTCCAGTGGGCAGGTAAGGCCCATTTCAAAAGAGCCGCAGGGGCAAAGATGAGACCTGCTGAAGCTAGTGTGTTGTTATGGAGTGACAAAACTGCCTTTGTTTTGAAGGCATGGCTATGAGCACTGTCTTGATGAGTACTGGCATTTCCAAATTTATTACAAAACCATTGGCTAATCACTTCCTTTGGTTTTTCCCCCCAAAGCATGGTTTCAGTAAGCCTGATATTCAGGCCAATCAACTCAGGATATTTGGATTTTGAATAAAGTTGCCTTGTCATGTTCTATTGAGGATTGCTCTCCTTGTAAGGGTGAAGGATTCCGGCTTGTTAGGGTACAAGCAAAGGCCTTTCTTGTTTCTGAAATGTTTATATATCTTTTCTTCTTTGTAGAAGTGAAACACCTGCACCAAGTTTTTCAAATGGATTGAAACTCCCTGTGGGCAAGAAGGTATGCTACTTGCAATGTTCTTGCAATTAGCTATGAAGTTCCATACCTTTGAACTAATGTAGTTTATTTCAGATGAGGGTATTAGTATAGGTATTTGACTGTGAAACTTGTCTGTCTGAAGAGGAAAACCAGATAATGTTAGTTATATGTGTATCCTGTTAAAATAATGGAATGCAAGTCCATAGTTAATGTTGCAATCCAGAATGGCCTTATTGTGGAATAAACGTAATTGAATATATTAGGACTTCTGTATAAAGATGTATAGGATTCTGCTGCAAATAACATTGATTTTTGGAAAAATGCAAATTTCTCCAATAGTCCTCTTGATTTCTCTTTGAGGAAAAGTGGCTTCCTCTATTAGTCAAAATATTAAATGTGGTTAGGAAAAAAGAAAATATTCCGGTTGCTAAGGAATAACTCACTGTTTGTGTATTATGCTGGTTGTGAATTCTGCTGTATATGCTGAACGGCTCAGAGACATATTGAGTGATAACATTTTGATTCCAAATACATTACACTATTTAGAATTTGTTGTATGTGAATATGTATAAATGTTCTTATTGTTTAATGTGGGTTATATACATTGGAGCACAGCTGTATTACAAATAATAGTTACATATGTTTCTCATGAATACAAATATTGTTCACTTGTTGTCTCAGCTATTTTCTGATTTTTTTATTTGCTTTCTTTTCACAGCAACTTCACAAACATGGAAAAGCTAACTCTATTAGCTTGCCCAAAAACGTTTTAAGATCCCTTAATCCATCTGTTTACCAAAATGTTGAATATGAAGTGTGGCATCAATCAAAGCGTGGTAAGTTCCAACAATTGCAATTAGTACTCTGATGTTGGGCAGGGGTTGAGGTTCTTTCTGTACTTACCTAATGGTATTGTATAACATGTTTTTTCTTTATGTGGTTACAGATCAGCAAAAACAAGATTTTTCTATTGCTGCTGGCATGCAGTATTCAGTTGGAGATAAATGTCAAGTAGGTGGCATTGAATTTGAGTAACTCTACTTGCTGCTCTTTCATTCCTTAGTCTTCTGCATGCTGCTGTTAGAATCTTTCCCATAGGGTTTTTGCTTTCCCCTGATAGAAGCTTTGTAGTTTTAAGGGCTGTGTAAAGTAGTGGTTAGAGTGTTGGACTGCATCTCAAGAGATTTGGGCTATAATCTCTCTTCAGCCAAAAACTGCTTAGGTGCTTTTGGGCCAGGCATCGACTCTCAGCCTAAGCTACCTTACAGGGTTATTGTGATTATAAAATGGCAAGAGGGAAGACAGTGTAAACTGCCTTGGATTCCTCAGAAGAGGAAAATACGGCAAGATATCAATGCAATATAATAACAGTAGAGGCAGACATACAAGGAAGAAATTGATCAAGGCAGTATTTTCTGACATGAAGATGCAGTGCTGAAACTAAAGTTGTGGAGCCTCTTTAGGATTGGAAGGTGGCAAGCTTCTGTTTCCTCTTCCTCCTGCACCTCCATTGTGCTATGCTTCATTCACTTGTAACTGACCAAGTGAACTTTCAGTTCTCTGGCCCTGCATAGCTAATATTCCCAGTCATCCAAACCAAGGATCGGCCCACTGTGTGGGCTATTTTGGAAATGTGAGGAACTGTCCTGAGAGCAATCCTAAAATGGCTGCTCTGGGTGGGCACTGCTAGTCACAAAGGGCAAATATCCTGTGCAGAGGCTTTCATGGGAAATGTAGATGCGAATAAATAGAGGCTCCTACTTTGCTTTGAGGCAATCCCAGCTGGCACTAAGAAAATACCTAACTACTTTTATGTTAAATTTGGAGGAGTGGGGGGCATTTTATTGTGCACCAAGAAAGGCTTCTGAGGACACTTTGGGGCCCAGAGTAAACACATTGCCTACCCCACTCTAACACTGTGTTTGGAATGCACTGCAGCTTGCTCATTTTCTCCTCCCTGTTCTGAATGCTGATCAAATTAGTTGCTTCCTGTTCAGTGGATAGCATGGTTTGTCAGAACAGATAGAATAATACATGCTGGTTTCTGCTAAACAGGATGTAACTAATTGAATCAGGGAGGGAGGATGGGAAGCCACTGTATACTCTGTATGCGGTATCAGTTGGAAGATCCATAGGGTTTCTATGTGAATCAAATCTTTCTTTCCGGGTTGTGGAAACTGTTAGCATTTATCTTGCATTTTCTTTATTAAGAAAAATTCCTTTTCTTGAAAGGAATTCAAGGTGGTCTTCTCCTCTTACACCTATGTTCGCAACATCTTAGGTAATTTAGGCTGAGAAATAGTGCCTGGCCCATGGCCACCCAGTGAACTTCATGGCTTAGGTGGGGGAAATGGCTGTAATGGAAAGAGAAGAAACGGGACCCCTCGGATGGCTCTGTTAAGAGACCAGCTCCTCCAGGTTTCTCCTCTCCCTGAACTGTTTTCACTCTAATGGCTTATTTCAAAAGTCATTATATATTCAGAATTGGGTCTGTGGCTGCTTGTTTTCCTCTCCCCCCAGCACTTTGTTTGTGTTGTATCTTTTTGATTGCAACTGGAAGAAATGGACTATTTTTCTCTTGATCTTTAAGTGGCTTTGGGAATCTGATGAGTGGGTAGAAATGCTTCAGACTAATAAATACAGTGTAAACCTTAACATTGGAATGCTGGAGGACAATGTCTGCTGCTAATTGAAGCCCTTTTGGTGATAATAGGGCTTAGATACATTTTTAATGTAAACATTCTGGTTATATTTTTTGTACCACAACTTCTGTGTCTCTTTGTTTATTTCTTATGAGCAAAAAGAGAGGAAATAAGCACAAATCTTTTTTAGCATCTCAATTGAGTGAATATGGCTTTCAGGCATCCAGAAAAAGCCCATTCCTTGACTAACAGATGCATTGTATCCTTTTATGTGTGATCCCTGAGTTGCAGAAGCAGCTCTCTTTTGGGATACAGTTGTTGCATTTTCTTCAGTTTTTAAACCTTCATCTAATAATTATGGGCTATAGCAGCCTTCCCCAGACATATATTGGTATTCTACAATTTCCACTATCCCCAGTCAGCATCTCATGATGCAAGCTGTAGTACAGGCCACAGAGATTGCATCTAGGACAGTGGTGGCAAACCTATGGCACGCGTGCCACAGTGGGCACGCAGAGCCCTCTCCGTTGGCATGCTAGCCAAGTTGCCCCGGCATTGCGACTCATTAGCCGCGACTCGTGCGAGCTTTCACATGGCCGGTCAGTGCACTGTCAAGGAGATATAATTGCTTGGACTGGCTGTGAGTTGTTTTTTCTAAACTAAAACATCAGTTTTCAGGTTTTATTGCAGTGTTGGCACTTTGTGATAAATAAGTGGGTTTTGGGTTGCAGTTTGGGCACTCGGTCTCTAAAAGGTTCACCATCACTGGGTTGGGCGATAGAAAAATGAGGTGTCCTGGCAGGGTTTTGATGGTTCGAATGGGCAGAAATGATGAGCTGTGTAGAAAAAGCTACTCAAGGAAGGCTTTTTCAAAATCGCCCCTTTCAATGGTTTTTTACCCCTATATTAGGGTCAAGGGAGTGCATCAGGGTAGGGTTAGGCCAGTGGTGGTGAACCTATGGCATGCATGCCACAGTGGGCATGCAGAGCCAAGTTGCCCCAGCATCTCCCCAGCAGCTGAGCCCCAGCATTGCCCCAGCAGCTGATAACAGGGCACATAGGGGCCATGCACATGCTCAGAAAGGAGTAGCAGCGTCAGGCAATGCCATCACATGCTGTGACTCATTAGCTGCGACTCGTCCGAGCTTTTGCATGGCCGATCAGTACACTGCCAAGGAGAGAGAGAGAGAGGGAGCAAGAGATTTGCTTGGACTGGCTGTGAACTGTTGTTTCTAAACTAAAACCTCAGTTTTCAGGTTTTATTGCAGTGTTGGCACTTTGCGATAATTAAGTGGGTTTTGGGTTACATTTTGGGCACTTGGTCTCTAAAAGGTTTGCCATCACTGATCTAGGATATGTACAGCCAAGCTATGGTAATACCATTTCTGTCCCCTTAAATATATCCATTGCCACATTGATGATGCTTTTTGTATCTCACAGCACCACTTGGGCATTCATAGTCAAGTGCATTTGTCCTTGACATTGTATTGAACATGAAAAAGGCTAGTTAAAATGCCCATCAAATGGTGGGTATGTGTACGTAATAACTGTGCTGGTTGTACCTTGGCTCTGCCTGCCTGCTTTTGGCTTCCAAGCCAGTCAAGTCTTTGCTCCATTTTCTTGGTGTTGAATGGGTTTGTGAGGGATGCAGATTGATCTGAGATGTCATTGGGGAATGGGGTGGGGGTGCTGATCTGAAAAGGTGCTGATGAATTTTGAATATGCTGAAGAAGCCTTGTGTTGTTCCAGTAGGAGATCTACTGACAAAATGGTTTGAGAAAAGGAAGGCAGATGCATCTGCTGGCATGTGAAACATTAAAATTGCTCGCCTTTTTCCAATTGATTTTACGATGTACTCTCTGTTACTCTATAGGTGCGTTTAGACCACAATGGAAAGTTTTATAATGCTCACATCCAAGAAGTTCTGTCTGCCAATGGGCCAGTGGTGGTTTTCGTGGAAGAGCTTAGTGCCAAGTAAGTGAAAACTTTAGAAAAAAATTCCTGGCAGCAGGAGTTGCTCAAGAGTGAAAAAACTTGCCCCTGGAAATGGTGGGCTGTCCTGGGAGTATTTAAGCAGAGACTGGATAGATAGCAGTCTGACAGACTCTCCACATGTATTGTATAGTGGTTGGATTAGGTGACTTCCAAACACTTCTAGCTTTAGGGCGCTATGAATGAGTGTTAGGGTGCTGTCATTTTCTGACTAGTCAAATCTTGTTTGGCCAGCAGTTTAGTGTAAATTAAAGAGAGACTTGCATAGGGCACACTGTTCAGTGCTAGACTCTTAAGAATTAGATTCTCTCAAAGCTGCAGACATTTTGCAAGCTTTGTGTGCCCAAGTTCTCCTTTTAAAAAGTTAAAGCAGTATTGCTTGCTAGTACCAAATTGCCTTCACATTTTCTTTCTGAAGAAGGTCTTGGAAGCAAGCCAAGTGGTACAGTAGTATGGCAACTATGCATTCATGTGTGAGTACGTTAGGCAATCTGCAAATGTGTACCTATTAGAGAATAATATCAGCAGTCATACTAACAACATTTCAAGAAATTTGCAGGATAAGTAATATTTTATGTATGAATTCTTGTTTGCTGAGAAATTCTTCTAAGGTCTGGGTCCTATCTGGTGGTGGATTTCCCTTAGAGGAAAGTGATTTCACCTTTGTAAATTGGGGCACCAGATTTTCACTGAGTAGATCTTTGTACTCTATCCCACAGGGTCTTCCATCCATCAGGAACAACTACTGATGGCCATGGAAATGCTAAGGTAGCTTGTGAAAGGGGAGAGCTCTGGCCTGCACAAGTAGAAGTGCTTTCTGCACTAAAGAAAATCTGCCGTTGGATAATACCTTATGATAGAAAAGGGCCATTTGTGTTTAGAAAGGAAATGAATTAGTTATGTAGAAGTTTGCCATACTACTTTCATGTTTCAGAAAAAGGCAATTAGTGCTTTACATACCACAGGGCTGGAGCTAGGACATGCTAGTGTTGAGTGATAAGCACCTTCAAAGGGCTTTGATAGCAGGGTTACAGCAGGCACTGAGCATCAGTATAGGATTTTGCTCTTCAATCTGATTTCGTTAAGGAGACCAGATAGGGTTCTTTATCTGATATGTAGGACTTCTTGGATCCGGCGGGGCCTCCCGCTGGAGGAAGTGGGAAGAGACAATCTTAGTCCACTTCCTCTCCCACCCATGCTCAATTTCCTTTCCCTATCGTTCCCCCTGTGTTCTGGATGCCCCCCACCCCCAATCCTCTGGAGCACTTGGGGTTGCAGGCAAAAGGGGAAATTGGTGAATATTGCTTCTCCCCAGTTCTTCCAGAGATAGAATTCTCTAGGCCGAATTCCCACCACAGTTAATTGGAATCCAACCCATTGTATGATTTCTTTCTTTAGTCTGTTTATATATTGCTGAACATATTCAGTCGTTAATTAATCTCTTGTGTAAGATACCAAGCAGCTTTATGCTCATGACTATGAGAGAAAGTGCAGAAGAGGTCTGCTAATACGTAGCAGTGTGCATGGTTAAAACCAGCTAGCTGGAAGTGATCTTGACAGTCCCTTCATTTTAAAAAGAGCCGGGAGGCTATGACTTGCGTCTGCATAATTGGAGAAGGGAAAACGGCCACAGTGGATCCTTGTGCCTAGCAGATGTTGCTCACACTCTGCTTCATTTCTGTTACACCCCATGCTGGGCATGGCTTGTTGTGTCCTCCTAATCTGGACAAGGGTGGGCTGCAGGGATCACCCTGAAACAAGCTATGGGAAGCAGAATGGCTTGGAAGTTACCCTGCAGCCCACCTTGCTTGTTTCGGATGGCACAGCAACTTGTCCCTGGCTTGGATAATGATGGAAATGAGATAATGCATTACTGGCATGTGTGGGATAGGATTCTCTGATCATATGACTCAGATCATGGAGGCCTAGCTTTTTTCAAACTCAGGGTATTATCAAGTTTACTTTCAGCCATCTTGTTTAATAGTGCAGAGATGATGTCACATTAACAGAGCTATTCAGCAGTCTCTCTTGTGGTTTATGAGCATAGCGAGCTGCTTGTAGCCCTCCAGATGGTTTGGCCTACAACTTTCATCAGTCCCATCCAGTATAACTAGTGGTGTGAGAAATCATGGAAGCTGTCCCTCCCTGATATTTCCACATTTTGAAACACCTGGTTAAAATAATCTGATTTGCTTTCACCTTCTTAAGGTGAAGAACTATTTCTTAATTCTTGCCCGTTTGTATTCTGTGATAACATTTCTGTTTGGAAATTTGATGTATACTAATCAAAGCTATGCTGTTGCATGCTGAACCAGTTTAAATTAAACAATGGCAACTGTTTTGCTGGCAGAAGGTATTTCCTGGGATCCAGCTGTTAATCCATGTGTTGTTTGTGAGAGGCTAGTTCCACTGGAGAGATGAGATCATTTTATGACTTGATTCTTTCTTCTTCACTGCAGGCATAAAGTGTTGCTAAAGAACCTTAAAGCACTTCCACAAGCAGCTCCTCTGGATAGTTGGAGCACTGTACTGGGAAAGAAGACAAAAAAGTCCGCTCCAGTGCATGGACAAAATGTTCAGACTGGTAGGTTCCCTTCCCTTTCCGCACTTCACAAATGTGATTGTCAAGCTATTGGGCTGGGAACAATTGAAAAGCAAAATACTATGTGTGTTCCAGATGCAGACTGCAGAGGGTCAAAGAATCCAGCTAAGCCTATAAAAACCCCATCGACGCTGCCTCCTCGACTGCAGGGCACAAGGCCGCACCATTTATCCAGTCCTGGGACACGTTCTGAGCAACCCTCCCCTGAGCACAAAACACCAGGCAGAAATCCCTCGCAGATTGCAAGGTGAATTTGATATGTACCTCTTTTATTTGGAGATGGGTGTCTTTTATTCTAGGGGCACTCTACTATTTATGGATTACAACTTTGTTAAAATTCCAAAGTGCTTGGGGGTTTTTCCCACGCAGGTGAACAGAAAGCAGATCTCCAGACATTCTGGACTTCAGCTCTCATCTCTTGTGAGCGTTGGCTGTGGTGACGGGCTTACAGGGGTTGAAGTCCAAAATACTTGGAGATTCACTTCTTGTCCATGCTTTCTATAGCTGAACATATTTAAATTGTAGGGCTATTGTGTGAGCTACCCGTAAGTAATGGATTTACCCATCAGTTGTAGTAGAGGTCTGAATGCAGTTGCTCAGGCAACCAAATCTGCTGCTCTTCAAGTGTGCATGAGTTTATTCCAGTGGTAATTGTTTTTAGACAGGCACAAGTGAATGCAAGGCAGATGTCAGGCTTGCAGAATCTATTTTTTTTAGAAAAACAGGGATTCACCAACTGGGGCCCTGTAGGGAAGCATAGCCTTGGAATTAACCATTTCTGAGCTCAGGATTTGGTTAACACAACTGCATGGAGCTCACCGTCCTTCACAAGAATCTACGCCCAATTATTCAAAGGTACGTTACTGTTCTGATAGCTGAGAATCAATTCCCTCCACCTCCACTCTCTCTCCAGAAAGGCTGATCGTGAGAGAACAGAAGAGTTGGACTACACAAATAGAGACTGTAGCTATTTTGGCCTTTCTCCAGAGGAACACAAAGAGAAACAGGTGACAGAAGAAATGCATGCACATTATGAGTTTCAGTTGCAGGATGAAGAAGCCTTTCCTGCACTTATGGTATGTGTATCTGGCAAGTGCTTCTTATAAGGCAGCGTTTTCTGCTTCAGTGCATAATGTCATGGAGAAGTAAAGTGCCAGTGCTTTTGCTTATTTTATTCTTTACTTCAGCTATATACAACCCAACTGGCAAATGCCCTTGGGGTGGTTTACAGATATAAAACCAACTAACACTAAAGTACCAAAAATCAATCCCTCAAAATATCAAAATACAATAGTCAACATTAGAAACACTAAAAATATCGAACACTAAAAACCTCAGGGAGCCAGCAGTAAAATAAAAAACAGCAGATCAAAGAAGAAATGCCTGCTTAAAGAGGAAGGCATCTAAATGTATGCAGCAAAAATGGCACGTGGATTTCTCTGTGCATGACCCTGACCAGGGGCTGCTACAGGGAAATCCACCTGCATTCTATCACACCGTTGACTTGCATTGTCTGGTATATTTTGCTTGCATCACTCCCGTCTGTCTGATTATTATACTTCCTATGTGGTATATACTGGGGTAAGCAGCTTAGTACTCTGCAGATATTTTAGACTATAAGCCATTAGCTGCATCCAGCACAGCCAAACGTCTGGGCTGATGTAAGTCATTGTCCAAAAGGTCTGAGGGGCACTAGGCTGGTACATGCAGTGGTACTGTAACAGGATAGACTAGAGTGGTTCCTGACAAATTGGTTAGACTACAACTCCTACAATCCTCAGCCAGCTTGGCTAACAGTTATGTGTGCTGAGGAATGGGGAAGTTGTTACCAAGCACATCTGGAGGGTATCAGGTAGCTGAAGTACAGCCTAGATCCTGTACTACAAAGTTCAGATTTTCCAAGAGATGAACCAAAATTAGTACAGCTTTGCTTTCAGAATACGCGAATTTTGCAGACAGTTCCAACATGGGTACATGGCATGATGGTACAAGTGCTAAGCCTTCGTGGGGCCCCTAGCTGTTCCTGGAGCCATGCTGGCCATCTGGGTGGCAACAGGATCAGGTGATGCTCTGGTTCACAGTTGTACACATGTGCTCGCCAGCACTGCTCTGTTAATGATGGTGGCGCCATTCTTAGTGTCCCATGGCAGGGGCAGGGCAGTGCTGTTCCTGTGCCAGTGCTGGTCAGTAGGTGTATGCTGTGGCAGCTCAAAGGTCACTGTAGTGCTGTAGCCTGCCAGGCACGAGAAGGTGGCAGGGGATGGTTTCTGGGGGAGTGGGCACCAGGGGCAACTTGTGTGGTCCTCCCCCACATAGTTGGAGCCAGGCTTGTCTGCAGATCTTCCATCCATCCATCACTTTGGAGCCAGACTTGTCTGCAGATCTTCCTTTTTTTTGTTTCTCCATATATATTTTGTTTCTCCACTTTATATATATATATATATATATATATATATATTTATATTTATATATATATAAAAAAAAAAAAAAACTTGTATATGCCATCCCCAAAACAAAAAAGCTACTGTTAATGATAAAATTAATTTTAAAATAGTCATTAAATAAAAAGGTTTTAACCTGGCACCAAAAAGAATGTAAACTTGGCACCAGGCACACCTCTCCAGGGAGCGCACCTCTCCAGGGAGCGCATTCCATAACCTGGGTGTCACCGCAGAGAAGGCCCTGCTCCAGGTAGTTGTTCTTTTTATCCCCTTTAAAGAGGACTTCCGGAGCAAAGCCTCTCCCGCAGATCTTAAGGGTGTGAGGGCATGTAAGGGAAGAGGCACTCCTTCAGGTATCCTGGTCCCAAGCTGTTCAGGGCTTTATAGGTTAAAACCAGCACCTTAAATTGGGCCTGGACTTCAACTGGGAGCCAGTGGAGCTGATAGAGGACCAGCGTTATGTGAGAGTAATGGCCAGTCCCCGTCAGCAGCCTGGCAGCTCTGTTCTGTACCAGCTGGAGTATCCAGACCATTTTCAAGGGCAGCCCCATGCAGAGCGCATTACAGAAATCCAAGCTGGAAGTTACCAGAGCATGTATCACTGTTGCTAGGGAGTGCTCATCCAGGTAAGGATGCAGCTGATGGATCAGTTGAAGTTGTAGGAAAGCACTCCTTGCCACCGCCGCCACCTGGAACTCCAGTGACAGCTCTGGGTCAAGGAGTACCCCCAAGCTGCAGACCCTGTCCTTTAGAGGGAGTGCTACCCCATCCGGAATTGGGTCAAAATCACCTACCTGGAGACCTGCACTGCCCACCAACAGGACCACCGTCTTATCTGGATTGAGGCTCAGTTTATTGGCCCTCATCCAGCCCATTCCCTCGACCAGGCACCAGTTCAGTACAGTCACTGCCTCACCTGGAGCAGATGTAAATGAGAGGTAGAGCTGGGTGTCATCAGCATACTGATGACTCCGCAGCCCAAACTTGATGACCTCTCCCAGCTGTTTCATGTAGATGTTAAAGAGCATGGGGGACAAAATAGAGCCCTGTGGAACTCCATGAAAAAGCTGCCATGGCGCAGAGCTATAGTCCCCCAGCACCACTATTTAAAAAGTCAATCCATGCAATGGGGATTGCAGAAGGGCATCTGGATCATGCAACAGAGTGAAATACCAGGTGCTGTTTTAGGGCAGAAAAAGTCCCCATCCTCTGTTACTAACCAGCACAAGCTTTCTCCTAAGCTGTTTCCATTCCCATTAGCAGAAATTGGTTTTTCTTTTCAGATTTTCATTGAAACAAGGTTAAAAACATTAAAGACAACAAACCTGAAAAATTAGGGCTCCTTGTGATCTATGGAAGCCACCAGTGTTTTGTCCATATATGTCCATATTCTGGACAGAATCCAATAAACTACAGGACCAGTGTCTTGCATTTAAGGGGGCTTTACGTTTGTGATTTGAAATGGGGCCCTGCTTGTGTCCCCTTGTTAACTGAGGAGGTGTTTCAGAAGCAGTTTGGGGTGGCTTGTGTATCCAGCTGTGTACAAGGGAGGAAAAAGTTTAAAGGAAAATCCCATGCACCCAAAATAGCTGTCTCACAATAGCTGTTGTGAATCATAATGCCATCACTAGATCCTGCCACTATACAAATTTATTTTAAGTAATAGAAAAAATGCTTAGATAGGATTCATGGCCAGGATGTGGTAAAGTTCTTAAAACTTTCTGGTGGTCAAAAATTGACTTAAAAAGGTTATTAGCATTTCTTTGCTTGCTTGCTTGCTTTTTTAGACACTGTGTGTTGCTAATGTTGTTTGCATTCTGAGTTTTTGTGAACTGCTTAAGACTTTAAGAGCAGGAAAGGACATTTCAAATGGGACAGAGCCCCAAACTCAGTTTGAATTTTTTCCTACATTTTGACATAGGAAAGTAACTTGTAACTTTAAGGCTGTAGTCCTCAGTACTTCTACAATGAACTTCCATTAGACTCATTTCTGAGTAAGTCTACCTGCTAGGGCTGTTTTCCTTTGGAAATGTTATGTGATTTTGGCATGAATTTGGGTAAGGCACCTGGCAATCTCATCTTACTCCAGTGAGAAGTTCAATTAAATAAACAAATCTTATAACAACACCTAGCCTTTATGACCAAGCCTTTAATATAGAAGGCAGGACACATGATTACTCAGTTAAAATCTTGCTTTTTCAGACTCCCTCAGTGTCTCAGGTAGCTACTCAGATGACTGATAACTCTGGATGGAGAAGACCCCTCATTCCTAATGGGAGAAGAGCTAGCAGCCTGAAGGAAAAAAAGGAGGAAAGAAAAGATGTGGAAGTAAAGCAGGAAAAAGGTATTAAAAAGGGGAAATTTTGGTTTTCTTTAACTTAAAAGCTGACATCTTCCAAGTATGAGGTCTATTGCATGTAAAGCAAGTAAGATAGTGCTTGGAGTGGGCACTTAAACTCCAGGGGGGTTTTACAAATGCAGCTGAACATATGCTAAATGAGCATACCTTTTCCCAGCTTCCTGAGGGCTTCATTAATAGTGCTTCTGGTTTGCTTTTGCAGCATCTAGTCCTGAAGAGACCCCCTTAGATCAGAAGCTTGAGCCCAAAATATCTAAGGTAATTACAAATGTTCCCTGCTGTGATATGTCCCTAACCTCCTAAATCTTTTGCAGTACCTCTGCCTATAAGGCAGCATTGACTGTCTGTCTTTTTTAATCTTGCAGAGCAACGGGGTAAACATTGCAGATGCAGGAGCATCGCCACCGTCAAGTCAGGGAAATACACAGTCTCCATGTATTGAACAGGTAAGATTCCTGAGCATAAACTTCTGTGACCTTTTTCAGTGGCAAGACTACCACTTCACATATATCAGCCCAGCAAAAAGTTTGATGATAGCAAAAGCACTTACATTTGTAATGCTGGGACTTTGGACCCAGCCCATTGGCAATGCATCTTGCAGCAGCCCAGTTAAAATTATGACCATCTGGATATGATATGTCCTTTGCTGTCTTAATTAAGGAGATGCAAATGCCTACATGTTAAGCAAGGACTGTTGAATCATGTTTTTGAATCACCTAATTTCACATGATTTCTGCTACTTGACAGCCTCAAAACTCCCATAAACTGCACTTGCAGTCATGTTTGCTGAGGCAGTGAACTGGTTTCCTCTTAATTGTGAGATAGCTCATTGGAACTCCTGTGTTCAAGGGCAGTATATGTGAATATAGCATGCTTTGAGCAAACCAGGAAGGGCTGTTACTGTCATGCTGTGTTTGGAAGTATCTGAAAGACTTCTGGAGACCTCTGGCTGGATGCTGGGCAATGGACACTGGTTCTGATGAAGTCATGCTGCTGTATTTTTTCTGATTGGGTGGTGCCAACTTAGTGGGAAAGCTGCAGTCAGGATTGTATATCTTTGAAGCACTAGTGTTAGAGCAGGGCAGGGATGGGTGACTTGTGGCCTTCCAGACAATTTGGCTTATATCCCATCAGCCCTCAGAATTGGCTGCTGTGGCATGGCCTGATAGCATTTCTGGCATTCCAGATGTTTCAGTCTACGATGCCAACTTCCAGGATAGGGCCTTGTAATGCAGCCTTCTCCAATGTGAAGCCTTCCACGTGTAGTTAGACAGATGCATAGTTTCAACACATCTGGAGGGCCCCAGCTCGGGGAAGGCTCTTGTAATTATGCTTGCTAATGTGCCATACATCTATTGGTCTTTACGTTATCATGTGCAACTGGTTATGTAGGGAAGGTGTCATGAACTAGTTTATGTCCTGCATGGTCTTGGTCATTTGAGGCTGCTCTCTCATGCACACACTTCCAGAGGAGTGAAACTGACTGAACTTGGTGGAACTTGCAAATCATTGTGTATGGAATTGGGCCATAAAATTAGCATATGGCCTTCTCTTGCCAGGTTGAGAGCATAATCCAGTATTGCTGCCATGTTTAAAATGTTTACAATTCTGTATTTCAATTTTGAAAGCCTACTCAAGTCCATGTGATGTCATTGCATTATAGAACTTGCAGGGATCCTTACCAGAGGGGAATCCCACACCATCTTTGGCCTTCCCTGAAATGCATTTGCCTCCCACAGTGCCTTCTGTACCAGCCATCGTGCCAGCATGGCCAAGTGAGCCAACAACATATGGACCAACAGGTTTGGAGAAAAAGCATCCTTCTAATCCTGAACAAATAAGGGCTTGCAATATCTCATGCTGTTTGGGAGCTGTGTTTATAAATCTGCTATGAAGTAAATTGAGAGTGTTAGTATAGACCAACTGTATTCAGTACATGACATGAGGAGTGCAGCCTGGAGACCATATGGTGAAGTTCATCTTCAGTGGGGCTGCGAAGGGACTGTCACCTGGCACTGCAATCCGTTTTCTCAGTCTGCACCATCCACCCTCAGTTTCTGTTGAACATCAATAGTGCTTGAGATGCTAAAGCTTGTCGTGACTGTTTGATGCTATATCTTCACTGCCAGTTTAAGCCAGTTTTCAACCTGCCATCCATTTCTGCCCTTTCCTGGAAACCTTGGGAATAATTGTTTTATGAGAAGTCTGTGGACTTGGTCTTACATCCAGATAAATGAGGTGAGGACACACTGAGATGATAGAATGGATTCCAGTATTTTGGTTGTTGGGGGAGGGACACTTTTTACTTACCTGTATGAAAAACTACAGGTAACAGAAACACACAGTTTATCAGCTAGAACAGACAAAAAACTGGTAAGAACCTTTATTTCTTATGCTAGCTTTCTAACTGTAGGGATTCTTTTTTGGTCTTTATACACCACTAGTCTTTAGTGGCCTATTCTTGTGGTGCATTCTGCAGCCTTAGGATTCTTTGGGCTTCTACGCTATCCTCACAGAATTCCAATGTACTGGGTACCCCAGGAAGAACCATGATATGTCAGGCAGCTTAAAATTAACACAACTTCATTCGTTTAGATAAGAGTATGTCACAGACAACACAGAGTGGAGTTTGCAGTTGTAATGGTCCTTGATGAGAAGGCATATATATGGTTCTGTGACACTTTGTGTTATGAATGATTGAGTGCAGGTCATACTTTTTGCTTCTGAATGAGTCATGTTTCATTTGAATTGTACGGATTAAACTGTTTGGCAATTTCTTGGCTGGGTCAAGATGGATGGGTGAGGAATCCACTGAGCTTCCCTGGGCTCAGCTCCCCAGACATTGCAGTAGCTGTGTTTGAATTTCTGGCAGACATGCCCAGCATTCCCAGGAATCAAGTCCTCCATGCGGTGCAAGCAGTATTTCTTCTACTGTGTCAGGTGCAGCCAATGCTGGGGCAGCTGCACCTGTCACTGAAGAAGGTTGGTCACATGGGCCTTGCCAGAAGCCTTGTGCAACCTCTAGCAGCATCCCTTTCTGACACCATGTGCAACCATCAAAGGATACCGGTTGCACAACCTTGTTCTGCCAGCATTCCCAGACCTCCCTCTCAGCTTGGCTCAGTTTGCAAAAGTTCTCTGAAATGGAATTGGGCTAAAAGAGGTTCAGCACCCTCTTTTTAAAGCAAATGTCTAGGTCCTGCTTACAGTTTGGAAACCAGTTTCAGAAATCAGAGCATGGTAATTTTACCACTGTGTGGTTAACTGGTAAATCCTTGGTTCTTACTCCAAAATCTCAACTTCCTTTGTTTGCTTCTAGCATTAGTCTTTGACATTGTGCAGATTTGTGAATGGATTTATTTTCCTTGTTTGCATTTTAGGTATTCCATCCCAAGTACCCGTGTCATCAGTGATGCCAACACAAGCAACTGGACTAGATTCTGCACTCTCCCAACCCCAGCTGAGCTCCAGTCCAGTTGCTGGTATTCCAGTATCCCTGCAAGCAGTTAACCAGCCCTTAATGCCTTTGTCTCAAACACTGAATCCTTACCAGGATCCACTCTACCCTGGATTCCCTGTTACAGAAAAGGGGGAACGAGTCATCACACCCCCTTACTCCTTGTGCAGCACAGGAGAGGACCTCCCAAATGGTAAGTGAGAATGAATAGTATTGGAAGTAGAATGATTTGTCAGAATCAAGTTAGGGTATGGATTGTTATGTTTACAAAGCAGCTTTCCCCCATATCTTGGTATTCTCCAGATGTGTTAGACAACACCTGTATAGCACTACAGTGGAGAAGCTGATATAACACTTTATTTTAAAAAAACAACAAATAAAATCAAGTGTACTGTGCCTCAGTAAAATAAATCTTTTGTGTATGTATGCAGATTTAAATCTTATTCAATAGATTTTGTTTTGATGACAGTAAGCAAAACAGGATTTGTCACTGTTCGCTAAGGGCATATAAATACAGCCTGCAGATTAGTTAATAGATTTTTAATTGATTACTTATTTTAACTTTATTTAGATATTACTGAAAAGTGTATATTTGAGATATTGAAGGAAGAATTAGATAATGTAGTAACAAGAACAACCACTTTGTTAGGCTGTATTTAATGCTTCTTCCTGCAATAACATTTTACAGTGAAATACCAAAAATAAAGCCTGAGAAACAAAAACTAAACTATGTCCTTATCTCTAGCTCCCACTGATTGGCATGGCTCACAGTGCAATACTTATTCATGTTTACTTAGAAGTAAATTCCATTGCTTTTAGTAGTGGCTGTGTTTAGGAATGCATCTTTAGATTGACTAGTCTACTGAATAAAGTTTGCAGCCTTATGGATATTTATAGACAGAGCTTGATATAGAAAGCTATACATGTAAGGCAAAACAAGAAATGAATGGATTACTGGAATATTATGAAACTTTATGCCTTGTCTCAAATTGTGGGATGTTATGTGCAAACCCTTCATTTCAGTTTAACTGTGGATTATTAACCCCAAACAACAAACCATTGGCTCTCTTTTTGGGTTCTTTGTGGCTAGCAACTGAGGTAAACAGAGTGCAGGGTTCACATGTAACAACAATCCATGATTCAACAACTTACACTCCTCTGGGTTGTCATTATGTGTAAGCAAGGATAAGTGTACCCTGAAGTATGACAGAATTATAAATGTATAGCATCAATGGCTGTTAAGAGTTTATTGCTACTCAGAGGAGTTGACTTCCTGCTTTCCAGGCTTCCCATGGCTTGATCAAACTTGGAAATTATTACATTAATAATATCCCTCCACCATCGATTTGTGCTGTTCTAAAATTTTGTGTAAACAATATATCAAACTTGTTAAAGTATGACATTAAATCTTGAGTAGATTTCCAGATGATATGGTAACACAGTGAACTAGTACAAACAAAAAGGATTAGATGGATTGCCACAGTTCTGATGCTGAAACCATTTCTTTCTCCCATCTCTCCTCATAGATAAAAACATCCTCAGATTTTTCTTCAATCTTGGTATAAAGGTAACTGGTAGTAATTTTTTATATTACAACAACCAAAAGGTGCATAATTCTAAGATCAATTTTAAGACATGAGTATTTTTTGAGCATTTGGCTGATGGGTATATGTAATTTGAATACAGATCTGTTCCTGAAATCCAAAAAAACCTCAAATCTAGTCTTCTTGTAGTTCCTCTTTGTATTCAACTCCTTGCATTTCAGCTATAATGACTCCCAAAGTTATTTCAGCATTAAAAATATTAAAAAAATCACTGTTAAAAAGATGCTTTATGAATAAAAGCTTGGCAACAGGGTTGCAACCACAAGGTCTTATGGAAGGAGTTAAATTATGTAAGCAATGCATGTATGCTGGAGAGCTGAGCTCCATCCACTTTACATGAAAGATAGTGGACAAATCCTTCTTAATGGTTAATGTTCAGCCTATGCACACATGTATTCAGACAGTTTAAGCAAATATATTAATATGGGGGCTTCCCACATTGGTCAGTTCTATACACCGCTATGTTGGAGGTGTATTTCTTGTAGTTAAGTCTTGTCCTCCTGGAATTTATCGCCATCTACTGGTTATAAAGCAACAGGCAACCCCAATGGGTAGTTCTTTCATTTCTACCTTGAATGGGTGACTGTATGAATGAGGATAATGTGATGCCGGTTGTCACTATATACAGTAAATTTTTGATGCTACTATTTTTAGTAGATCAGGAAGAAATCTTGCTCTCAGAAAAAGGTGAAAATATGTGAGGGTTATATAAGAGTACACCTTTAGCCTAGTAGTATATATTAATAAGATGTTCACTGAATCATCACAGTAGGAAAAATGTAAAAGAAAAAAGATTGATTAGGTGAGGGATATGAAACTTGGCCTACAGTGGTCCTAGCCAGTAGTGAGAAGTAATGGAAGTTGTAGGCCAAAGCACCTGGAGGACAAGTTGCCAAGCCTGGAACTAGATAATGTTGGGTAAAATATATTGCTTTAAAAGCAGTTTGGATCCATTAACTGGAATAAAACTACCGGCAGAATGGATTTCCCCTCCCTCTGTAGCCCTCACGTGCCCTAATTCTGTTCTTGAGGGTGGGTTCACATGGGAAATTGTAGGGAAAGGAAAAGACCAGGAAATGCATTTGTGCAAGGAAACTTCTTGGATCCAAGATAATACGAACTTCTAAAACTAGATCTGGATTATTTTTCAAGTGTGATAATTATTGTCTTCTGTGTTTCTGCAGGCATACAGTTGTCCTATGTGGGCCCCACACTCATATTTGTACCCTCTGCATCAAGCTTACTTAACTGCCTGTAGAATGTACCCAAAGGTGCCAGTTGCTGTCTATTCTCACAACCCTTGGATGCAAGAGCTCCCCTTGACTCAGAATGGAAATGAAGCTGCACAGATAGATGGACGTTTTTCTGTGCAGGATGACGTCAGGATCAATGGCCAGAGTCCACAGACAGACACCATGCCTCAGTCAATGCCCCTTTTCATACCTGCTGGTCAAGTCCCAGAAAGCCAAGGGCTTGTTTGTGTAGAGTCTGGAAATCCAGCACAATCACTGCATGCTGAATATGATGAGTCCTTAGGAAACAAAAGTATATTCCTGCAGCCTACATTTGGTGGGCAGAATCCATTTTTAGGCCCTGTTCCAGTTGCCCCATTTTTCCCTCATCTTTGGTATGGTTATCCAGTTCAGGGCTATGTTGAAAATTCTGCAGTGAGACAAGTTGCTGTGCCGCGTGAGGACAACAGAGCAGATGCAGGCTTGCCCGAGGAACATGGTTCTCCAGTTCCTGATGCAGGATGTGCTGACTCACTTCAGAAGGTCAGGAACGAAAGCATTGTCCAAGACATACCTCTCCTTCCTGCAACTGCCCCCAAGAGTGAATGTAATGCTATAAATAAAACCTCAGCCAGAGTGCCTAGGGAGCAGCAGACTGTGCCTGCTACCCCATCTGCCACCCAAGCAAAGTCTGTACTTCAAAATACTTCTACAGAGACAAAGGATCTTAAGAGGCAGATGGTAGCAGTGCCAAAAACTGAACTGAAAAATGCTGCTCTGACTCACAAAGAAAAGACTGATAAAGCCAGTGATGCTGGCAGTGAATCAGTCAGTTTGGAAGAAAGTAGGGTACCAAGGACAAGGGAAGAGAGCTCAGAAGATGAATGTGAAGTATCTAACATGCTGAAAAGTGGCCGATCAAAGCAATTTTATAATCAAACTTATGAAGGTGGTAGAAGATCTAGAGGTGATAGGAATTATCATCCTGGGAGGGGGGGATACCATTATCCAAGAAATGAGGAATCTTGGAAGGGGCCATCCACCAGAAACAGAGATGAAGGCTACCAATATCATCGCAGTCACCGAGGAAGGCCATATCGGAATGAAAGAAGAAGAACGAATGTAGATGGCCATCGTGGGCAGCAGTTGCCTTGAGTACAAAGTTTGAACATAAATACTAAGCTGCTGTAGCACTCTTTCTGCTTTGGTGAAAGACCAGAATGCCCTTTTATATTGAAGAGTGACAAAACTCCTACGTGTTAAAGTTGCTGGCTATTAAAACTGCTATATTTGGTTTATTTAAATTCTGGAAACTACAAAAGTATTGTGTTTGAAATACTGAAAATAGTTTGGGCTTTCTTTTTCCCGTAAAGATTTGAGAGTGCTAGGAAAAATAAGTAGCTAGAATGACAAGTTGTCATAGCTGTATATTTGACATGTGACAAAGAAGAAACTTGCACCAAATAGAATGTCTATTGTAGCATACTGTACCTTGGGTCTGAACTGGGGATGTGAAACCTGTGGCTCTCCAAATGTTTTGTCTCCCAGCTCCCCAGCAGGATGGGAGATGTAATCCACAGTTTGCTCACCCCTGGACTGACCTCAGCTTCCTGGACTATTTTTGATGTGCTTCCAATCCAAAGGCCTTTCATCTCAGAATTTGTGAAACTTGAATGTGTGAGGTTGTGTGTCTTCAAGGAAAATAATACATATGGCAGTTGACTATTCTTGTGTCTTATAGATGTTTATAGTGTTTTATTCATAGGAGTATATTTTTAATTTTATATTTATAAAGCATTTCTTGAACTAGTCAAAACAATCAAGAATCCCTGTGTGTAAAGTATGTAGAAGGTTTCATGATAAATTCTTTCAGGCAGTCTTAACACTGATAGGACTGTATGCCTATGCCAACTATGTATATAAGTGAAAAGTAGATGCTATGCATTTCTAAAATAGTTTTCAATCTGTTACAACAAAACTTTTACAACTTTTTTGCACTGACAAATTGCTAAATGGGAGAGATACATGAGATAGATCTGTTGCATTTATTTTGTTTTTTTAAAGCAAGGCTTAGGCCGAACTTTAGGTTACTGGGTTTTTTCCTTCATACTGTGGAAACTGGTTATATTGTCTGTAAAACACCTTGCTGCATTTTTTTTAAAAATGAGAGATTTCTAACTTACTTTACTCCATAAATCTGGTTGCTTTCTGCCTTGCAAAACACTGCAATATACACTCCACATTTTTTGGCTTTGCTCTGTAAAATTGAATTGTGTATATTTGTCTGTATATATCATTGTGCAAGGTGATGGTTGCTTTTTATTCACATCCAAGAGATTGTATAATTTTCTTTTGATCAAGAGCTTTGAGGGATACTTTATTAATCCTTTTCAAATGCATGATATATAATTAAAGATGTTTGCCCTTTCTGATTTATGTTGTGATACGGCAAGTGGCTTTATGCATCTATTTGAATGTGTGATAATTACTGCCAATAATCAACCCTAGAGTATGAAACTGACTTAAAACTAGTTGAATTAATCTACTTTCCTGCATTTCCTCATGTCTAATGCTATCTTTGTCCCACTTCTATCCCAGGTGAATTGGGGCACAGCATATTCTGTGTATATTTCAGGAAGTTAGCAGTGCAGTACTTGCTAAGGAGACTGTCACCTCCAATAACATGTTAGAATTGCTTATCTATTTGCACTTTTGAGCAGCTTTTTCTTCAATTTTTCCTAAATTATACACATACATATAATGCAGGTGCTCATTACAAAAATATTCTATTCACAGTAACAGTATGCCTAAAGAAGCTTGCAGATCAGTTGGGAGAGAGAAAGCTATATTGTATATGGAACTAATGAATAGTTTTGTACAGTTAAAGCAAGAGTCCATTTAACATACCTTTGGTGCAAGCATTGCATATGACCCTGTCAATATTCTAAGTGGGAATGCAGCATCCTAATCTAGCTTTTTATTGCCTGATTCTTTTTGTTCTAGTTTGTCTGGACAAATCAGTCCATGCTTCCAAAAACATTTTTGTACAGAAGCTAGAAAAAATGACCATGTAGTAATAGTCCAACTATATAGGTGGCTATACTTAAATGAGAAGCTACATATTGAACTGCTTTATACAGATCTGGGTGCCTTAGAAATAAAAGTACTTTTTAGAAACACTGATCTAGACTGCTCCCTAAAATAGTAAGAAGGTAAAGCAAGGCAAAAATCAGTAGAAAACAGTTCTTAAAACATTCTCATAGAACATGTACAGCATGGTATCTCCAGCACTTAATGTTCACAGCTTTCAAGAGCTTTCTTAGCTTGCCATACTCAAATTTTATCTCCAAAGCCATTTTTAAAAATTTATCCCAGATCTCTTAATAGTAAATTAGCCAAGACATTGTTTTTGTAATTGGAGGGGGTAGCAGATGTAAAAGGCCATCGATTTTTGGGATTAGCCTATGTAGTAAAAACAAAAAACTTGCAACTATGTACTGCTAGGTACAAAGATGCAATTATGTGCATGTATTCCTTAATATTTCATCTAGCTAACATCAGTAACAGGAAGGTTTTCAAGTAACACATAAGTATAAAGGAAATAAGCAAAGCCCCCTTCATGGTTAGGAGAAATAGATCAGCAATATCTGACTTTGCCCACTTCTGGCTTGTCATTACATGCATGCTGAGAACATGGTTTAAATCAAATTCTAGTCAATTGCTGAACAAGCCAACTACAATCACTAGATTATTTAGTACTTGACTAGAGGCTTATTTGTGCAACTGTTGTACTCCAGCGGATTGCATACTGGGGCCATCGTGATGTCGCAAACCCAGCAAGTATGGGTTGTTGATACAGTTAAACTACTCCATGATACATTAGTGGTTTGCTATGTATGCCACCATGGGTTTTGGTGATCACATAAAGCAGCTAGTTCTCTTAAACTATGATTTCTGGTGTTCACCTACCAAGAATTGGGTAAAATTAAATTATGCTAGTTTGTTCCTCTCAGCCATGTTAGGAGTAGGGAAGACCACTCCAGTCTGGTGTCTTGCACAAGCTCCTTTTGGTCATGCACATAGTACTAAACTGGTTTAACAAATGCAACTGCATAGCCAATGCCTCCAGGTTGATTTAGAAGTTCTACTCTTCATATGGAGATGGCTGCCAGAAAAGAATTAGTTTGGTGTTACGTTTTGTGGACTTCACGCAAAAGTTATGGTCTTGCTGAAGCAAAGTTTGTGGGGAGGAATGAGTAAACTAAATGCTTCAATGGAGGGGTGCCCTGAAAAATCTGTATTATCAGGGAGGGCAGTCACTGGGACCCCAAATTATGAAGGACTAAGTCCAATACAGACAAAAGAACACTTCCAGTTAAGAGACATAAACAAGATTCAAAAGAATAGAATTTTCTCCCCATGAGTGTCAGCGCAATCCCATAAGCAAGCTATTTTACAACAAGACCATAGAACTTTTCGGCCCAGCTCAGACGATCCAAGAATAAATGGACTGTTTGTAAATGCAAACTTACACATGTTCTCTTGCTTCCTATACTTTTAAGAAAATGAACCCAGCATGCTTAACTCCTAAATGACAAGCGTTAATCTCATCCACAGGTTGTTTGACCGCTAAACAAGCCAAAGTTGCTTGGTTCACACATCAGGAATCAATCCAAAAATGTTCCTGGATGTTCCTGGATACATAGCAAAACAGTGCTGGAACAGCAATATGATGTGTGACATGGCCCTTAAGTTTGTAAACTGCAACCGAGTATATACCTAAAACAATTTTTTTCTATCGCCCAAGAAGTGTGCAAATGCACACGGAATTTCTTCAAAAATAATGAAAGCACAATCATGTACAGCCAGTACATGCATCTAAATCCGAAACATTCTTGACCTGAGTGGGTTTGGATGACACACTACTGCTCATCATGCATAATTGTGCAGATACCGAATTGCAGATCTATAACCCATGCTCATTGGGTTCACATGTCATGACAATCCCTTTGGAGAGGACTGCATATTCAAAATTGTGCTTTCCTCACCACGGATAAAATACCCACAGTGGATTGTTCATACATGGATCATATCAGCAAGGGCTGAAACTAGTACTTGGCTGATTTAGCGCTAGCAGAGACCACACCGGCAAACAACATGCAGGAGAGTTTGTATCAGTTAAGACACTTGAGGAATGTGTTTAATGAAAACTTTCTCCAACTTGGTGTCCTCCAGATAGGATTGGACAACAACTCCCACCAATCCGTCACTGGAAGATGATGGGAGTTGTAGTCTAACCCTATTTGGAGAACACTAGGTTGGGGAAGGGTGGTTTTAAGGAATGCAAGAGATATTAATTCACAATAAGCATCAATCTTAAAACTAGTGAGAATTTACTAAAAACTCACCAGCAACCTTGCTCCTCAAGGTAAGACTATGAATGTTGTTTGAAGCTTAATCCTTTGGCTCACTGACATTCAAATGCAGATGCAGATTTAGATTAACATTTATTTGAGAAACCCTCATTTACAGAGAGTCAGAATCGTTTAAAATAGTCATGTCTATGTCTTGACATATTTGTAAACCACCTTGTACAGAAAACAGCTGAAAGGCTTAAAATTGGAAACAAGTCAGCATCTGATACATTAATAAGTTACATTTGAACCAAAATATCTCCATTGTGAAAAACCATGTAGTCTCTTGGTATGAGAAATTCAGCTGTCTGTTTTGAAATATTACATCCAAAAGATGGCCTCAAGAGGCAAAAAAGTGGTACTCTGACATTGCTACTGGGCAGTAAGTGTTACTTAACAGTAACATTCTATTTTAATCTCTGGAATGAGTGCGGCATTTTAAAACCTGATTGCATTTCATATAACAAAGTTTTCACTTCTACAAACTGATGACCAATTTTTCTTTTAATCATCCAAGAAAAAGTAATTTCCACTTTTCTTCTGTTCCACATCCTGGATAAGAAAAACAAAACACCATTACTAAATTACATGAAATGCTTATAGATACCTGCACAGGTACTCTTTAGACAGGGAAAGGAATATAAAAGAAACTAGTTCTTGTCCTACTGCTAGTTTTACCTTGATTGAATTGAGTTTGTTTATTCTTGGTCTATAATTATTAGGATCTCTTCTGAAAGTAATTTCAAGCTGTGACAAAAACTTATTCATGCCAGCCAAAAGAGTTTGAGGACTGTAAAGAAGATAGAAGTACATATTAGCTTCCTAAAGCAACTTGTAAATGAAAGCTATTTTACCATTTCCCACTCAAATAAAACTTTTCTAAGACTAGTACATCAACTACAGCATCATCCGGATTTTTATGGAAACCTTTTTATGAATTTTGCCTGAAAAGCTGTATGTGGTTCCTGAAAATGAAATAAAGGCTTACTCTGAATTATGCCCAATGACTAGCTGGGCATCGTTTGTCACTGCTGTGGAAAGTTAAGATCTGGGGAAAGGATAAAATGGGGTCCCAAGGAGGTTGGAACAGTAAGAATTCAGTTGCAGGGAAATCTTGGAATAAGGGATAGTTGGCAGGGAATCACTTTGGGATGCCCTAGATTTTAAATAATTTTCCAGAAAACGTTGGAAAGAATACATTCTGAATCTAAAGTATTTTGGGGAGGGGACTGCCTCATTCCACCTATACTATATTGCTATATATGTTCATTGCTATAAAACAAAATTATTTTAATTATATTTGTATCTTGCCTTTTTTCCTTCAAGGGAACTCAAGGTGGCTTCTATAATTCTCAATCTTATCCTCACAGCAGCAACCCTGTGAAGTAGGTTGGGCTGAAAGTGTCTGACAGGCTCAAATTCACCCAGTGAGCCATAAGGGACTAGAACCCAAATCTCTTGAGTCCCATTCCCACACTCTTAACTACTACATCACACTGGTGCTCAATTATAAATGAGAAACCAGAAAATTGCTAAACTAGATTATCTGCTACCAGAAGCTGTTAGAGAAACTGGTGTCCTCAAATAAAGGATTTTTTTGTTTTGGAAGTGGGGCAAAGGAAGGTGAAATAGGCACCCTTATGAATTTCCCCTAGAGGTCCCTAATGTCTGTGGGGAAACACTGAAGTCAGCACAGTACTATTTTTAAATGCCTTCTGCAAAGTCTTCGAGGAACAAACAGCAAGAATGCCGCTTTCACTCCTCAGATTTTTATTCCTGTTAAAGGTAGCATTTTTCATTTACTCCCTCCTCTTATATTGTGTTTCAGACATGTATCTTTAAAATCATCCCTGATTAGTGCTATTACCTCCCATCTCTGCAGTTTTGCTTTAAATTTGTTCCCCTTCTAATATGATCTGTATATCAGAAGAAGGTAACCTCCAACCTCTGTGGACCCCTCTCCAAGTCCCACAGCTTCACCTGGAGGGTTTAGAAATATATTGGTTGACCTAATATAA